AGACCAGCGGTGATCGGCGAGCAGTGCATGCGGTTAGATTTGTGTCCGACTTGACGCCGACTTGCTCTGACGTCATGCATACGTAGGCAACGATAACCTTGTGAGATCAAGGCGGCCGCAGATTTTGGAGCAAGGCGCTGCAGTTGCTCTCCACCGGCTGCAAAACCTAGAGGATGACAGGAAACGCCTGGCTCTCACCTGATCTAAGATCTGATTGGTTCATATTTTGATCCAAACATCCGGTGGTAGAACATGAAATGTTAGTCGGTCACATGTATATTTATTTCTCTCTCTCTCTCTCTCTCTCTCTCTCTCTCTCTCTCTCTCTCTCTCTCTCTCTCTCTCTCTCTCTCTCTCTCTCTCTCTCTCTCTCTCTCTCTCTCTCTCTCTCTCTCTCTCTCTCTCTCTCTCTCTCTCTCTCTCTCTCTCTCTCTCTCTCTCTCTCTCTCTCTCTCTCTCTCTCTCTCTCTCTCTCTCTCTCTCTCTCTCTCTCTCTCTCTCTCTCCTCTCTCTCTCTCTCTCTCTCTCTCTCTCTCTCTCTCTCTCTCTCTCTCTCTCTCTCTCTCTCTCTCTCTCTCTCCTCTCTCTCTCTCTCTCTCTCTCTCTCACACACACACACACACACACACACACACACACACACACACACACACACACACACACACACACACACACACACACACACACACACACACACACACACACACACGTAGAGGAAAAGAGCTGAGAAAAGGCAGAGGAAGTGGAGGACACCAAGTAGTTAAAAGAAAAACTACAGCTGAGCCGAGGCGCGCCTCGAATAGGGCGCGTCTGATCTGAACTGATGAGCGGCGAGCAGCGGCCGAATTCCGTGAGCGATTCGCTTCTCGGCGCTTCCGCGGCCGGTGTGTCCCCGGCGTTAAACGCCGGCTTTCAGCCACTCCCCCTGCTGCTCTTGTCTGCTTCCCAGGCGAGGCGCTGCTCAACTCAAAAACGGCCATTCTCTGCGCCTCCAGTCTTCTTTAAACCGCCAAGAATCATTCCACCTACGCACACGCTTCTCTGCTTCCTACCGTTTCTAAATGTCTCGCTTCTCCTCACCAGTTTTAAAGCGTTTTGCCAGAGATTTCATCAAGAAATCCCATCCCTGTGGTGGCGAGATCTTCCTGCGTGCTTGTGTGTTTCTAGCGTGGTTCCACTTCGTCTTTAATAGTGAACTTATAGTTCACGTGACTATAACTAATCGTGCAGTACGTGCACGAATCGTACAAGTGCAGTACGTGGCTAGAGGCGCGCAGGTTCACGCGCGTGAAACGAAAACTGCGGCTTCCTACAGGGCGGGGGCCATGATGTAGGCGAAAGCCGGTGTGTAAATGACAAATAAAGCTTGGGCGCCACCCGGGCGGTAAGTCGTCAAGTATTTACCGCCCGACGAGAAAATTTAGCGCCATTGGCGCTCGGGCGCTTTAAAGGTCCACCCCTGCTCTATATGATTGTTAGATTATTTTCCTGTCCCAGCTGTTAAACAATTTTTTTTTCTTTGAAATTTACAATTTCTCCAACGACGATTTAGCACAAAACTGGGTGTGAACATGAGTGACCAGTTGGAGTAGTGGTGAACCTCAGCTGGGGTCTTTGCATATGATTTAGCATGTTCTAGCGAAAATTTCTTTTTGTCAGTATCTTGCCGTTTCTTCTCAAACTCAGACATGGAAGCCAGGTTCATCTGTGACATAACTCTGAACAGGATATTGAGATTTGGCCAAAACACTAGGTCATGTACTTAAAAATAATCTCTAAAACCTTATAAAACAAGACTCAGACGTTCATTTTCAATATATGCATGCTTCATGTAGAATGAATTCATTACATTGCACGAATGACACATGGATAAAAACCACCTTACATTACCTTGCATAACATGTAGTTTGGGTGCACGGTACTAATGAGAAGTATTTTGCACAACAAAGAGCAAATATTCAGTTGGTGGGCAAAACTGAATTTTTTTTTCAAAGCTTCATAATTTTAAGATAATCTTAAAGTTCTATGAAGATGAGAGAGACAGTCACCGCTACACCTCACCTCTAACAGATTACTAGGAGCCAGTCAAGGTTCTCCTCAACACTAATAATCTGAAACCCCACATATAAATACCAAGTACATATACTTACTTATGTGATTATTGAAGTTTACAACCAAAGAACAAATGATTCTCCTATTTTCTATGATTATATTCTTGAAGTAGAAACTGATTTTTAAGTAGTTTTAAGAGTCATTTTGATTCTGGTTTGAATAGAATATTATTCTTTTGTCTGAAGAAAGAGAAATTACCAGTTATTTCAGGAAGCCTGGAAAATTCTTGTAGCTACGATTTCATGGGTTTTATTTTCCTTTGAAAGTTAAATAAAAAAATTGGGCATGCCTTAAGACTTTGACCTGGTTTCAATTTAAAACTTGTTTCAACTATTGTGACTGAACCACTGCAGGCGTGTCTTATATTGCATCACGACGGTGTTTGAACTAGTCAGTGTTGTAGATTTAGGGCTGCTCAGCTTTGTATGTTTAAACCACAATCATGATTTTTAATCAACGTTTTGGTCATGATTAGGGATGTATGTAGTTGTAACGTCCAGCAATGGTCAGTTATCACCTAAAAACTGACCTGCATGCCACCGGTCACCGGAAGACATAAATTCCATTTTCTGAGGTGGATTTCACATTCTACCTTCCAACATGCAACAAGGTTCTGCAAACCTTGTTGACATTTCAGGAGGAACACGATGTCAGCCTGTGTTCCCAAAGAAAGCAGTCTTCGGATAACACCGCAGGATTCCTCATGCCTCTGAATAAAGTGACTATTTTCAGCTCATATGTGTTAATCAATCGTGAAATGAATTAACAAATGTTATATGAATTAATAATAATGTTTTGATTCATCAGTGTTTAAATTAATAAGGTTGATTAATCTGTGCTTGAATTACTGAAGTTTGAAATGACAAGTGAATCACTATTTTCTGACAGCTCACACACAGACACGTGACAATGACAAGGTTAAGCTAATATCATGACACGTAGATATTTTCTTAGCCACAAATCAGAACATCCTGTATCTGAAAAAGGCGTGACGTTCTGAAGTTTGCCTGTGAACACCCCTTAACATGGCATGTCCCGGTTGGCCAAGAATTCATAATATGAGAATATTAAAAAAGAGCTCACTAGACGGTGAGTCAGTTCTAGAGAAAGCTACGGACCGTAGCATCCCTCTTTAACCCAAAGTTTCGACAAGCTAAAAGCTGACACAGCAAAACGATTCCTTCAGCTACTCAGAAACAGCTGTTCTGGACGCAAACGATTTCATCTATCTGTTGAGACTCAGAAACATCTCTGGACTGGAGAGTCGGTGCTGCGATTAATCTGCCAAACCTCGGTGCCCAGCAGTCATCCGACCTCCCTGACCTCCTGATCCGTGAAGAGGGTCTCCAAAGAAAGGGTGAGGTAGACACACAGATTGTGTCTGATGCCGTTTTGATAAGAACCAAATTCATAGCTTAATGCAAACCAAATGATTTTCACCCAGAACTCAGTTCTTCTAGATACAAGGTTCTGATGAACACACACCATTAAATCACCACACATCACATCCTCTTAGATTCATCCAGCGCAGTCATCTTAATTAACTTGTCTTGTTTTAATTTATTTAGAAAATAAATTTCTTATCTTTTACAAACCTGACTCTGTCTGAATTGAGACGATGTGTGTTGGTCCCTGAAAAAGCAAAGAATCCTAGAATCTTCTGATTAAACATCCAAAGACCAGGCAGGTTGATATTCTACATTTATATAGACTATCACAGCTTACTGGTCATAAGTAAAGGTAATATATTAAGCTTAAAAGCAACAACATTTATCACTCTACATAGTTAACCAGGTAATTGTTGTTAATGTAACCAGGTAAAATAGTTTTGCCCGGTTAACTGCTTCAAGTCCTTCTGCCATGCTTGGAATTTTTTTGTGCCACTAGAGGGCACTGCTATCAAACTGTGTTTAGTGGGCAACCGCAGAAGAAGAAAGGTGCTCAAACATGAAGTGGTAAACAAAGAGCACTTCTTGGGAGGTGTTTATTCTTAGTTATTTCGTTGTTAGAACACAATAAGCCTCACATTAAGGCGCTGAGCCTGGCTGAACATGGTGCAGCAAACTGAACCGAGACCAGCAACAGCAGGAATACCTGGAATTAGGTCTGCACTGTAGGTGCTGAGAGGTTTAATGTAGGTGTTCCCATTTGACATGGATGGCTTTCTTTACTCCCCTCTCAAACCACCTGCCTTCTCTGTATTTCTATTGACCACTCTTTAAATATAATGACCGAGTACACACTCACACACTAACCCCTAACCCTGATGAACACATTCTTGTTCCAAAACCAATCACAGAGATCACAACCAGCTACTTTCACCAATATGTTGTGTAATTTGCACAAGGATTCCAAATAAGATGCAAAGCAGATTGGCTGAATCCTTCATGAAGAAAAACCTAAATAGACTAGAAACCCTAAAATTATTCAGAAGTGACATTTTAAACATGTACATGAATCACATGTGAGACTTGTAGCTTTTTTTTCTTACAGCTTGCATAAAAACAAAAAAACTTGGAATTTTAACACTTTTATCAACTGGAAGAGGCACCGTTTGCACTTCTGTTCAGAAGCAAAACACCAGTGAGTATTTTAAATTGTGACAAACCATTTTCCAATGTTGCTTTGGTTCCTACAGCAACCACCAAATGTAAACACATGAGGTTAATCACGTGTACATGAGAGTCCCACAATAAAATTAGGCTTCTTTGTCTTCAGTTGGAGCCATTAGGCTTTATGAATACTTTAGCTAAATCCTTAACACTTACCATATAATATCTGAGGTAGTTTAATAATACAGCGAGCATTTTACAGTGCATGTTGGAACACCGACTTCAAGGCTCGTTAGGAGCCGTCACCTTTGACCTGTGCTTGTTCGTTTCTTTTACCTTGAGCGATGGCTCTGGACTCGAAACTCTGCAGCTCCGTGAGTAAACATTTCCTCTCCTTCGGGTGAAGGCGATAAATAAACTCTTTGGCCCTTGTGGGTGAGTTTAGCGGCTCCAGGGGCTCGTTCCTCGCATGTGTTCCCATCCAGCAACCCGGCGCGTGTTGCCCTGTCCCCGGCTGCCTCTGGGTTGTTACCGCCGCCACCGGAGATTCCCTTGGTCCCGACGGTAACTTCTGCGCACCGGCTCGGAGAGCTCTTTGTAGGCAAGCCCTAAGCATCGTGCCGTAATAAATAATAAAGTCCGTTTATAACATGTAAAACCTGGTTTACTTGAGTCTCCTTCGAACGGAGGTGCGCCGCCGCCTCTCTGCTCCAACGAGGCTGGCACTCGGGCTGAAAGTTGGTCGCTGGTCGGTCCTAGTACTATAATTCGACGTCAATGAAGCATGAGTTGACGACTTTCTAAGCCTCTCTATGTAAAACGTGGCTCGAACTCCAAGCAGTCGAACATCTTATCTTCCCGTGCTGTCCGAAACGGTCTCATGATCTTCTGACACTCGACGCTCCGGAGTTGGGCACATGAAGTTGAAGCTACAACCAAACACAGCTGAACAACCAAGTCCGCCGAGAGAAACCGGAAACTGTCGGTCCCATCTTTCAAAATAAACCTAGCTGTTTCCGGTCACGCTTTTCGTATTAAAGGTTGAATATGATGTCATAAAATGCTCCATTATATATATATATATATATATACCCCCACGGGACGTTTAGAGGTGTGTAGAAGGATGGTACAGTATTTCATTTAAAAGTTATATTTCAATTTAAATAAAAAATCAAATTTTTATTGGGATCAGAATCACACGTGATTATGTGTTGCATTCTGGGATGTGCACAGACATGTTGATGGTCTTACTGGTGTAAACAAACCATGAAAACAAACAATGTTGCAGAGACGAAACCATATGTTGCCGAGAAGAAACCAAATTGGGAGAAAGGAAGTGTTAAACAACATGTTAAAAACCCAAAAAGGATGCAGAATATACAGGGATACATTAAATAAATACGTCAGGGACCAGTTTATGAACAGAATCAGCACTATAAAAAGTTTGGATCCAGATGAAAGACCCAAGACTGGAGCACCGACGACAACTTGTTGCCACCGCAGTTCTGCATAACGGACATTTTCAGCTATTTTGTTGGTGCGAGCGGATGTAAATGTCTGGATGAGAGGTAAACTTTTCATTTGCTGGTTTTTCTAGTAAAACAATCAAAATCGTCATTCCATAGAAGTGAAGCGGGAGAAGTTGTGTTGTGTGTCAGTGCGCCCGAATTAGCTTACCGGTATGTGTGTGTAGCCTACGTGTGTTGTGTGTGCGTGTCGCAGTTGAAGGAAAGAAATGATGTATTTAAAAAACGACGTACACCATCTGTAACTTACAAGAATGAAAATACTCTGAAGGTGATGTTTGGTCACCTTACAGCTGCGATCCAAGCAAGCCTCCAAGCAGGAAAATTAGCCCGTTTTCCCTCGCGATCATGTGTTGCACTACACAACACAGCAACTATTTACCATGGTTGCGTAATATTGCCAATCATATGAATAATAGATTCAGTTAAGCAGCAAGAATGATATTAAGCGCACTGTTCACAGTAGTAAAATGCAACAAGGGTCCATAGGCTGCCAACAGGGCGGCCGCGTGGGTGATGATGACACAAGCCCTATTTTGACAGGCATGAAATTGAGTTTATGTTAGCATCTGCCAGCCAGTTGAGGGCACCAGTGTGGGTTGCCAAATACAGTACACAGTCCGCTTGGCACATCAAGGCTAGCACTTTGGAAAATGGCAGATTCAGTAAGTCAAGCAGCTGATTCGGAGCCCAAAAGATGTTCTAACATTAAATACTCCATCCATCTTCTTATTCAGAGTCGGGTCGTGGGGGCAGCAGCCTAAGCCGAGACGCCCAGACTTCTCTCTCCCCAGCTACTTGGGCCAGCTCTTCCGAGGGAATCCCAAGTCGTTCCATGGCCAGCCGAGAGACATAGTCCCTCCAGCGTGTCCTGGGTCTTCCCTTGGGTGTCCTCCCAATTGGACGTGCCCAGAAAACCTCACCGGGGAGGCGTCCATGAGGCATCCTGACCAGATGCTCGAGCCACCACAAGTGGCTCCTCTCGACGTGGAGCAGCAGCGGGTCTACTCCGAGCCCCTCCCGGATGACCGAGCTTCTCACCCTATCTCTAAGAGAGAGCCTAGCCACCCTGTGGAGTAAAACTCATTTCGGCCACTTGTATCCGTGACCTCGTTCTTTCGGTCAATAAACATTAAATACTGTAGTAAAAATAGACTTATTAGTAGAAATTAGCCCTTACCCTGTATGATTTGTCACTGGACATGGTGCTGGCTGGTCACTTCACATATGTGAAGCAATCTTGGCCTGCTGGAAACCATGTTCTATTGGTGCAACTACAACCTCCACATACTAGATGTCGCTATGGTGTTTGTGCTCCACAATCAACCTTTAAACAAACGTTTTAAAGGGACTTTACTTTGTATATATGTCGATGGACTTTACGGAATTTAGAATTTTTATGCTCGCGATTGCCCCCTCAGGCCAAATGCGTAACAGCAGCTTCAAGAGGAGGCTTGTGCACGAGGCGTGCATGCTGTACGTGCGCACTCCTTAACGAAAATAACAGCTGAGACAGTCCCTTGTGTGTGTGTGTGTGTGTGTGTGTGTGTGTGTGTGTGTGTGTGTGTGTGTGTGTGTGTGTGTGTGTGTGTGTGTGTGGCCCAGAGGACAGAGGACAGGAGAACACACAGCTAAATAATTAAATAATGTGGTTCTGTACCTTTCTCTTCAGCACAGCCGACAAAGGTTTAAGATGGGTCAGTCCTCCTGCATGCTCAGATCATGCCCTTCCCTTGCTTGAAAAATTGTTCCAAAATGAAAGTTGAACCCACATCTTTTTTATCTGTGAATTCAATGCCGTACGGCGAGTCTCAAATAAAAATGTGGGCATCTTACTGTAAAAAATATACCATTAATGTAAAAAATAATCTCTAAATAAACTATGTTCACATCCAGAATCAAACCTGGGTCTTCTGCACGAAAGCCCGCAGTCTTATTAGACGAGCTAAACCACCAGTGACATCTTCTGTATCTGTAACATTTATATTGTTGATGACAGCTGAAACAACGTTCAAAGAACGGTTCGGAGGGCGATGCCTGAGCGTGAACGTGCATGAAGCAGCCTGCTCGACCCGAGCATCTCTCTTTTTCTGTGATTTTACAGAAAAACAGGCAATCACAGTAAAAATGCCAGGGCTCATTCTACAGGACCAGGGCATTGCAGGAGAATGTATGAAGAAGAAACTTATTATTTCTATACATGTTTTGGCTGTCAAACTTCCATAATGCCCCTTTAATTTAATACAAATGGAAGCCCATTCCTGCCACTGATACAAAAATTATTGTATCTCATTGCTGACGTGGCTATCTCATAATGATGAAATAGAATCGTATGAGATAACATTTTTTTTATAAAAGTGGCAGTTATGGGCTTCCATAATATTGATATTAAAAACTATTAATAAAAAATTAAAAGTGAGAAATCTATACTGCTAAGGAATAAAGCATTCACAACAATCGGATTCCTTAAAGAATTTATATGTAAACATGAAAAAATAAAAGAATATTGATTTCTGTGAATATTTTTAATTAAGAAATATATTTTCTATATAATTATCCAAGTAGACTGTAAATTACAATTACTGTATTCAAAAGTTTGACCAAAGTATGGAAAGTGGCCAAACTAAGAACGTGTCCTTCAGAAAAATGACAGAACAGCTCCATCTGCTGGTCAAGAGTAAAATTCGTTAACAAATAAAAATTATGTTCTTTTAATACATTTTATAATAAATTATTAGATTATTTGTGCTTGAGATTGTAATTAAAGTGTTGGTGGTGTTACAGAAAGGCCAGCATGCAATATCAAATATGCTTTTATTTACATAAATCTCTTTTAAACAAACAAAAAAGGCAAAAGGAACAGCTTTTCCCTAAAACAAACAACTTTCTGAGAAACAAAAAGTCAAAATCCTTCATAGCTCTGAGCCATTTAAAAAAAAAGCACAGCTTTTCCCCCAATGCTTTCTCCGAATCACCAACAACCAGTAATCATAACAGCAACGAGAATATGCAGGTAGTCAAACCCTGAAAACGTTACCACTGTGTTAGTTTAACAACATTCAGAGTGGAGCCAGCAAACATTCAAATAAAAATCTAGAAATTCAAAATGAGATATTCTAGATGCTAACGACGGGCTGCACTCTTCCGTCAAAACCGAGAAAAAAATTATTGTACCAGCAGCTCGAAACTTTAGATCAGTAGGACAGGTAATTCTGGGAAAGTGTGCAAAATCCTCCATGTAGCTCAAAATTTCAACACGTCACATCATAGAAATGTGTTTGCATTAGAAAAGTTTCTTTGAGGCCAGAATTTATCATTATTTTTTTGGGGTGCATGAGAAACTTTTTGGTAACAGTAAGTAAAAACATGAGAGACTATCTGCAAACAAAAATATCATCTCTTTAAATTACCTGACATGTAAATCAAATAATACTTTTGTTGTCATCAGCTGGCACTTTTCACTTCATTTTATACTAACCGCACTGAGAAATAATTTTCACTTATATTTTATTCATCAGGGGAAATAAATCCTCCAATGTGGCGTCTGGAGCATCTCCAAAAGCAGCTTTTTCTAAGCATCATATCTAATTAAATCATTTCTTTTAAGAGAACGGATGAGAGACTTTTATAAATATATAATTGCACGTCTAATCTGAAGGAGAAAGTGTGCCTTTACATGTACAATAACGTACACAAGCATAAGTGAGGTCCCATAACAGACCAGTAGTGAGAGGTACATCTGCAATTACAGTAGCAAGTCAATCTTCAATCAGACCCACGCAGTAGTGGAACAAATACTGACTTCTGAGCCATAATCAATCAAAAAGTTGGAAAGTGACAGAAATCAGGGCTGATCGGTGATGCAGTTGTGAAGGTTGGAGTCCACAAAATGGTTTTAGTGCTAAAAATGTCACTGTAAACCTCAGTTTCATGAACAAATCTTGAAGACCGATAATTTCTTGGCTAACTGTTACCTCGGCTTCTTTAATTAAACGAATAATCTTTTAAAAACATAAAAGTAGGAACTCAAAACCAGTGTAATAACTTTCATTTGAATAGGAACTAATTTGAGTCCAGCACGACTGCGATGATTAAGACACTAAACACAAAAACACGCATCCTCATGCACACACACCGTTTTAATGTTGGGCCTGAGAGAGGAGAACGGAAAACTTCCTCAACTTCCAACTCAGTTTGGATCATTTGGTTTGTGTATCAAGTTTGAGTCAATCTGGAAATGTACATTTGTTCGGAGACAGCCGTGGCCATGTATGAGGACTTTAATCTGGACTTTTGTCTAGTTATGATGAAACTTTAAAAAAGAATCATGACACACACACACACACACACACACACACACACACACACACACACACACACACACACACACACACACACACACACACACACACACACACACACACACACACACACACACACACACACACACACACACACACACACACACACACACACACACACACACCGAACGAGAGCAGCTTTTACTCGTCTCAGAAGCCCTTTTAGAGTAAAACTCAAGAAAACGAGAGAATGACATCCCTGACTGTTTTTCCAAGAACAAATTAAGATGCTGGAGTTGTTTCAAAGTTTCATTTTTTTCTTTAACTTAAATATAATAAACATATATGTGTATTATTTTCTAATCAGTCCTCCGTGGAGTCTGTGTCATCATTGATATAGTCTTCTTCTATTGGCGTGTTGCCGTTCTGTGTCCCCCACTCGTCTTCGTCATACTCTATGCTGTCGTTGTCCCCCAGCAGCTCGTCGAGGCCGGCTGCTTCTGCTGCAGCGTGCGCCCCGGCTGCCGCCCCATTCGCCATGAGCTCGGCGCCAGGCTGTTCGTGCTGGTTTTCTCCTGCCGCAGGTTGGCCCGCAGCAGCTGGCGGCGCTGCGTAGCCCCCGTTGTTGTTTGAAAAGGCGTCCCTGTCTTGACCCTCGTCCTCAACGTAGACTCTCTGGTGGCACATGGGACATGTGTCCTGTATGTAGAGCCACTTCCTCAGGCACAGGGCGTGGAAGTAATGGTGGCACGGCGTGAGGCGAGCTGAGGTGGAGAACTCCTGGTAACAGATGGCGCACACGTCCTCGATGTCCCTCAGCTGGTCCCCTCGCAACTCTGGCAAAGAGTTGATCTTCTTGACCGCGGTCCTGCGGTTGATGAAGGTCTTCCAACCGTTCTTGGCCTGCAGATAGATGTTGAAGTACGCGTGCAGGCACATCATGCAGGCGCGGATCTTACTGCCCGACTCGAACATCATCGTGTAGGCGCCGTTGCCGAACATGATGACGCCAAACAGGAACTCAATGATGTTGCCTGTGGAGCGAACGTAGTAGACATAGTCGTCCAGTTTTTCCCACAGGACGTTGGAGAATCCATCAGCCATGAAGAGGCCGTAGACAGTCAGGGACACCACCACCTGGGGGGACAAAGAGACGAGCACAACTAATAAGCATTAATGAACCAAACTCAGGAACCTCCACACGAAGCTGAACACTCGTCTCATCGTGATGTCACTAAGATTCGATGGTCTGCAGAAATAAAGGATATGAGCACCAAAGTTGGGCAATGTAGAAAAATCTTTTATGATGGGTGATTTTTGGACTTTTTATGGGTCTGACGCACACGTAGGGATGGGTACCGAATTCGGTACTTTTTAAGGTACCGACCGAGCATCGATTCACGTCGTTTCAAACGGTGCCTCGTTTCGGTACCCGTCCTTCACAACGAGAACTTGCCTAGACAGCTGCGCATGCACAAGAGCGTTATGTCGTCGCTCGCTGTGAGCCAGTTGTAAACAGAGCAGCATGGTAGAAAGAACGCACGCTAAAGCTTGGGTCCACTTCACTAAATGTGATGGGTAACTGGGTGATGATGAAACCAGCGACAACGATCTAAGTGAGACATCCTCATCTTAATCTGCTCCGGTAGGTAAATAAAATGTTTAAGATAACGTTAGCTTGATTTGTTAGCTTCCGTTTGGCTAATGGTGCATTCGCTTTCTCCTCGGAACTCTGAAATTTCGACTAGAAGAACATGAACGCGCTCTAAAGTTTGGCTTCACTTTACTAAATGCGACGGGTGATTGGGTGAAGATGAAACCAGCGACAATGATCTAAGTGGGAGGCATCATCGTTTTAATCTGCTCCAGCAGTTAAATAAACTGTTTAAATGGCCTGTATTCGATATAGCGCCTTTTAGAGTCCTGGAACCCCCCAAGGCGCTTTACAACACAATCAGTCATTCACCCATTCACACACACATTCACACACTGGTGGGGATGAGCTACAATGTAGCCACAGCTGCCCTGGGGCGCACTGACAGAGGCGAGGCTGCCGAGCGCTGGCGCCACCGGTCCCTCCGACCACCACCAGCAGGCAACGTGGGTTAAGTGTCTTGCCCAAGGACACAACGACAGCGACAGACTGAGCGGGGCTCGAACCTGCAACCTTACGATTGCGGGGCGAGCACTTAACTCCTGTGCCACCGTCGCCCCACGTTTAAGATAACGTTAGCTTGATATGTTAGCTTCCATTGCCACCATTGTTATCAGCTAATGGTGCGTTCACTTTCTCCTCGGAAATTCTAACTTCCCAGTAGGAAAAATCAAATGAAGAAGGACAGCAAAAGGAATGAAGATACACAGTAAATTTAGTTCACAGTAAAGATGTTTGCTTCAGTTTAATTATCAGCTTATAAAACTACAAGGACGATGTTAAAATACAAACAGTTGAATGTTATTTATCGTGATATTTATCAAATATGGTTATAAATTGAGAAAAATATATATTTAATTATAAAAGAGAATTAAAATATTAAACACTCAAAAGTATCTAAAATTGGTACCGTTAAGTACCGGTGTCGATTCCTAGGTACCGGGAATTAGTACCGGATCGATTCAAATGTCAAAGGTACCCATCCCTACGCACACGGCATGGAGCGACCCATCAGTCACAATCATTCATCGGTTTGTGGAAGCAGATCACAAAGGATCCACATGAGATTTCTTGGTTTTCAGAATTCCATTTGCTATTTGATGAGTCAATCAACAATATGTGTTGCAATTGGTACAAGTCACACAGCTGAGGACAGGGGCTGGTGCTCTTGGATCAGGAGGGATGTCGATCAGACGTTTGAAGCTAATGCTGAAAGAGATTAGGAAGAGAAAGAGAGGCATGCGAAGGATAATTTGAACGTTTTCAGCGGTGCATTATGTTAGAATGTGGATGTAAGACTCGTAGGACCAACACATCAATTGGACCGTAAATGTAAAAAGACTGTTTTGTTCAAGATGGCTGTTCTATCAGTGACATGAAGCACCGTAAGTGAGGAGGTCAGTCAGAGGAATGAGGTGGCTGTGCCAATTCTGCTGTTCAGTATAAAGTGGTAGGTCGGACTAAAACCTCGGGAATCAGCTTGTTGTGTTTCGCTCTCACTTGCAGTTTGCAGCTGTATGAGGCACGAGTTAGCTGGAACTGGTCAACGTTGCTGCTATGAAAACATAGTTTGATTATATGTAAATGGTGTCAACACAACCATATTAAGTCACGTAGGGCTGGGTGATACAGCCTAAAATCAATATGACGATATACTGAGGGTTTCACCTCATTAACGATAATGGACGGTAACTACGGGTATGCGCAGAAACAAAAGCTGTCCACTAGATGGGGCTGTCGCATGTATTACACTGAGTAACGTTTTTACATGACTCACGGTGGTACGGCTTCTTAAAGGGGCATAAATGTTGCCAACCTACACACATCTTTTCTTTTATATTATAAAATTTATTGACATGGGAAAAATTATCTCGATAAGAGTCAGAAATTTCGAAAACGATACATTTTTGATGTATTGCCTATCCCTAAAGTCATGTTCATTTGGTTAAATGTAAATACTTTAGGTTGGTTCAAATAGTTTGGATGTGAAAATGGGGCATAATTTTTTTAAGTGAGGTTATTATTTTTACAGTGCATGAATAAATGACCGGTTATCATTCAGGGTATCTGCAGGTTTAAGGGAGCCAAATTTAAGACTTTTAAGATGTTTTTTTAAGGCCACTTTGACCAAATTTAAGCAGTTTTTTTAATTAAATCTAAGCTATAATTTCCAGCTATTGCCTGGAACCGGTGCCAACCACGTCACGAACATGGGATTAGCCATCCAGCTACCATTAAACTTGCACTTCCCCATGGCGCAAGCTCCCGCTAGCTTAACCAGCTAATGTGCTCATCTAAAAATAGCCCCCTTTCACAACCAACTGAAGGTGTACGGTTCCGCTCACGCCAATATCACACAAAAAATGCTGAACACTAACTAGACATTCACGAAATTTTTATAGACATAAAAGAATCTTGTTTATTGGGTCTCTGGTAATTTAAGACCTTCGGAAACTCTATTTAAGGATTATTAGTCATTTTTAAGGCCTTAAATTTGGAAAAGCAAATTTAAGACTTTTTAAGGACCCGCGGATACCCCGTGATTAGTTAGATTTGGTCTTCATTTATGAGGAATGGTGCAAAAGCCTTTAACATTCATATTTTATTAATCACATCTTTTGGACCTTTCACAGTTAAAATTTAGGCTTCACTTGTGTTGTCTTTAATTCCATGGAAATCCAATCTTAAAGTTGTTTGGATTTCCTGATGAATCAGAGTGCAATAGCACTCAAAAATGTTAATAAAGTATTCAATATCTGACATTTCTTTATATTTGATTCATTTATTTTAGGCTTCTTAAACATTTCCCACAAAATGTAGTTTTATTACACAAAGACATTTGCTAAACATAACAACGTGTGCCGACACCAGTAGGGCTTTTCCTTTTTAAGAGGTGGTTTGGAGGCTCACCTCGGTGTAACATAGTTGTTGTGCTGAGTGAGAGAAATTCTTAAAGCTGCAATTGAGCTGACGTTATCAGGGTATCTGCAGGTTTAAGGGAGCCAAATTTAAGACTTTTTAAGACCTTTTTAAGGCCACTTTGACCAAATTTAAGCTATTTTTAAAATTTAATTTAAGCTATAATTTCCAGCTATTGCCTGGAACCGGTGCTAACCACGTCGTGAACGTGGGATTAACCATCCAGCTACCATCAAACTTGCACTTCCCCATGGCGCATGCTCCCACTAGCTTAACCAGCTAATGTGCTCATCTAAAAATAGCCCCCTTTCACAACCAACTGAAGGTGTACGGTTCCGCTCACGGCAACATCGTACATAAAAAAATGCTGAACACTAACTAGACATTCAGAAAAACAAAAGAATCTTGTTTATTGGGTCTCTGGTAATTTAAGACCTTTGAAAACTGTATTTAAGGATTATTTGGCATTTTTAAGGATTTTTAAGGCCTTAAATTTGGAAAAGCTAATTTAAGACTTTTTAAGACTCTTTAAGACTTTTTAAGGACCTGCAGATACCCTGGTTAATGAAATTGTAAGATTGTCACAAACATAAAAAGCTGCAAAACTTTCCAAATCTGCAAATATGCATTTTTCTTGTGCTACTCATTACCATCTCCCATTTCTTTTGCACTTTTTAATATACACTTAACAAATATGGTATAAATATACATTTACAAAATGTACACACAAAGATTTATCTACTTCTACGCTCACCTTGAGGCAGAGCTCCACGCAGAAAGCAGTGACAGCGAAGAGCCAGGTGTTGAGTTCGTAGTGATGCCAGAGGGCGTAGCTGAGGACCACGGGGAGAACAAAGAGCCCCACAGACACCAGCAGGACGGGGAAGTGGCGTCGAAACGAGGAGACGTGGGAGGCGCTGAGGGACATTAGAACGGGGTCCGTCATGCCGTGAATAAAGTGCAAGATGGCCGTCAGCAGAAGGCACATGTTTCGGCTCAGCCGCACCTGCAGGTCAGAGACCTCTCAGTCACAAATGTCATAAAAGTGACACAAGGTTTACCCAGCTAACGTGAAATACATCAAATCAGAAGGACCTCTGCTTTCCACGGGACGCAACATACGCAGAAATTAGCCGCCGTTATAGCGGATCGATGCATTTCCATTGGCCGCGAAGTGTCACGCCTCTAAAATTACACTCCGAGTTTATTTTTTTACGCGCCGTTTCCAGAACACAATCTAAAAAAAATCCAGAAACGTTCTAAATAAAAGTCAGTTGCACATTTCCTGTTGCGTAACTAGTAAATAAAAGAGTGTCAATACCTGTGAAACCTCCGTAGCTGAGCTAAAAATAAACCACAGACCTTTCTGGATACACACGGCTGTCTTCCTCCTCGCTTTTTATCAGACGAACTGCCAAAATAATGCGTGACCTTGCGATTCTCCTGTGGTTTCGTGACCTTGCATTACCAACTTCGGCAAATTCTTTCATTGCTGCTTCGCGACCAAAATCCTCCCGGTGGAGCCGAACTTGCGAGTAAGATGCGTTTTTTTTACTTTACGTGGCGCTGACTTGTCTGGTGGAGAGCCAGGTTGGCTGCAACAAGCTGCAGAGGCTTACCAAACGTTCCTCTGGATCCAGGCTGCTGAGGCCGGTCTGCAGAGCCAGAATGAAGAACAGAACAGGAGCCACAAAACCCAAACGCTTATCCTCTTCCTCTGTCGAACCTGAAATGTCAAAGTAAAATGCTCAGATTTGACCCCTAGAGTCTATACGCAAACCTCTGTGAATAAAAAAGAAAGTGTCTAATACCTATGAAAGCCAGGATGCTGAGGCCGAGGTAGTGTGCCACAGAGGAGATGACGGCGCTCATGCCTAGCACAGTCAGCGTGGAATCACAGCCGGAAATGATCAGGTTACTCGTCAAGTCCCAGAACACGTCCCAGCTCAACAGGTAGCCCTAAGAATGAAACAACCGCACAAAAATGAGACATTATCTCTAAAACACATAGTTTTAGTGTAAATTACCTTAAAAAAGAGATAAAAAGCATTTTAAATCCTCATATGTAGCTAACCTGTGCATCAAAGCTCACATCTGTTGCGCCTCCTGTGGCATCCCCGCTCTCCTTCCTCACCGCCCGCACCACATAGACCAGTATGAGTGCCTGAGCGGTGATCCTGGTCAGCCAGAATACTCGCAGCACGTCCGGAAACCGGATTCTCTTCCACGTGTCCTCTAGCAGCAGCTGGAGTCCATAGATCCTGTACATGTGCCGCACGAGCAGGTAGACATACCGACATGAGTAGTAGAACCATTTGAGCCTCATGGCCAAGCAAACGGCTGTGTTGAGCACAAGCACCAGGCCCGAGAACACGGCCACCAGATGCCGGACATCAGCGGGAAGCTCGATCATCATCCCCCACAGAGGGATCATGATGTCCAGGACAACCAGCGCGGCGAACACGGACTGCAGGTTGAGCAGGAACACGTAGCCGATGCCAAAGGAGAGCTGCACCGCAGCCATGCCAAGCCACAACGTCATTCCGTTTCTAGGCAACAATCTGAAGCCCAGCGCCGCTTTGTAGTACGCGCTGTAGAAGTCTATGTGTGAGGCGGCATGGTAGTTAATGAGGGCTGCCGCCACGCCGAGGAGCACGGCCAACAGGAGGGTGTAGAACTTGAACAGGGCTTTCTGGGAAAGCAGCAGCACCACAGTGGAGATGAGAACACCTGGAGCACAGAACAGAGCAAACACACAATTAGAAATGATTAAAAATGTAAATTATGCTCCATATATTTGGCATTAATCAGTATTTGTGAAAAGAAGATGTTTATTTACTGGTTGGTACAAGAAAATGTCTGATTCTCTCAAATGAACAAGTAGCACAAACGCAATGCTCCAATATTTTGTGGCACGTTAAACTTTCTGATTTGGAGATCTGACATGGATTTCCTTTCATTGTACGAATCTGGCTAGCTGATACGGTTTTAGGTCAATTCTGGTTTAAGTAAACAACTAAAATTCAGAATAGACCGATGACTCAGGCTGAAATTTATCATTTTTTATTTAAATTTAGTCGTCAACCAATATACCGTAAATCCTCTAATATTAGCCTGTATTTAATTATCATATTTTGGCCGGTGTCAGCGGAGGTGAATAATGGCCGGTTTTTTATTGTGGCCGGGTGGAATGTGGTAACAAGCAAGTACGGGGGGCGGTTGTGTCATCCGTCTCACTTTTGATTTGCCAGTGATAGACCGCGAGGGTAACTTTAACCGTGCGGAGACGAAGAGGAGGCGAAAATTTGATATCAAGTTCAAAGAGAACGTGCTGATTATGCTGCAGAACACTCTGGGGAGCAGTAGCAGGGGTTGTATGAACTAGTCACTAGTCGACTTCACCGCTCTATAGTGACTTTTTTTGCCTGTCATCGACTAGTCGCTGTCACGTGATGATGACCGGCAAGATGCAGCCCTCGGAAAAGACAGCAGCCTGCTGTCAGCAGGTGACAAGCTCCTGCGCGTCGGGAGGCAACGCGCTGTGCCAGAGCGTCGGTACTGACACCCGCCGTAAAATGGACATTTAACCAAGTTGTGACCTTTACCCTCTTGCAATTTAACCTTCCCCTCACCCCATCCTAACCTTAACCAGCTTGGGCATGCAAAGCTCTGATTGTTGACGCGCTCCAGACATCTGCGTCCTGAGCACGGCCACAGTAACGTTATCAAATCAGGTATCGCCACCTCAAAAACTAATTTAACACGCGATCGTTCATGTTGGCTCATTCCCTTTTATGTTTTCTGTCTTTTATGCTTTTATTTGTGCCTGATGCCTTTCGCTGCTGTGGATCGGGGCGCATCACCTGTTTTGTCCTCGGTGACGCACCTCACTGATGTGGCCAGCGAGCACTCCGCTGTTTTTGCGGTCGGTAGATCTTTTAGAACTGCAGTTCAAAGGTAACTCATGAGGTGAATATATATGAACCCAGGTAGCAGTTTTTCTTTAGGATTGAGAGGAGATGCAGGAAGATAATAAACAGATACAGGACAGAAAAATAGTCAAATAAAAACAAGTTAGTTTTTGTACCTGGTGGTTGCAACAAACAGACACCATTGAAGGTAATCAGAAGTGAGGAACAGAAAATGAAATAATTATTTTAATGTTTAGAGCAGCAGGAACTCCGAGAGGCTGCAGGCGCATCAGTGAGTTTGCGGCAGCTGTGCGGGGGAGGGGGGAGAGGGCTGAAGCAGAAACTACCGTTGTTAAAAGAAATGTGTTTAACTTTGAAAATGTGGGCGCAATTTTATTTGTCAAAAACTCCAGCGAACCATTAGTTCATTTTGCTGAAATAGAAATTGAGGCCTGCCTCTAATTCTGGTCCTCCTTCCAATAAAGGCCTGGAGCTTGATGAGCTTGAGTCAAATACAGGCCCGGGCCTGTATTAGAGGATTTACGGTAATTCTTTAGTAAAACCAATTTAAAGTCAGGCACATCTGCAGGCAGTCTGGTGCTGTTGCCGAAGTTTGAATAGTTTATTGATTTGGTTAAATGTTTAATTGATTGGGCTTTATGTAGATTTTACATTTGAAGTAAATGACTCTGACCTAAATATCCACATTTAATGTATGTAATCACCACTCCTTTCAGATTCCCCTTACATTAATCTTTGAACTTTGTCCTTTCATGTTTGGTTTTAATCAATAAGATTCGAGAACAATGGCGTCATTCAACAATCTGATAAAACGACTTCAGTGACTAAAAGGGGTCAAACCTTGTTGAAACTTTTTTCAATTATCTATAGTTTCACATTGAAGCAGGTTTGTAATTCCAATTTAGATTAATCTGACTTGGTGCTAAGTTTATATATATATATATATATATATATATATATATATATATATAAAATCGCTTGCATCTCTTACCTAGAGCTCTTTGATCTCTGCAGAAGTCATGAACCGTTCAAAAGTCCACAAACTACTAAAGTTATATAATCTGCCTCCTAACGCCAAAAAAAGAGCGTAAAGACAAATGTTGTACTAATGCATACTCACAACGCCCACATTAAGTTTTAATATTACAAAACACGTCTGAATAAAGCTAGAGTAAAACTATTTTCCTTCAGGCATTTTTGAACTTTCCGCCAGTTTCAAGCAGGTACGCAAAACATGACACAACACCGGTGACCGGCTAATGAACGTTAGCGATAAACAACCTGAACGGGGGGTTTGAAGTGTAAAAAGCTCAAGAAAAAGTGCAAAACAAACTCAGTAACAATTGTTTGAAAAATGTGTCTTGAATGTATGTTCGTGCTGATAATTAAATCGGCTTTAGTTCCCGACAGGTGGAAAGCTCTGATAGCATTAGCTTAGCTTTAACAACTTGCTTGTTGACAAACCGAAAGCTCTTGGTTTGAAATCTGCGCCTAAAACAACTTACCTATAACTCTGACCAACACCTTTCCCATCACCCCTGCCCATCCCGATCCAGGGTCGTAGTAAGAGTTAAACATAGCGTCGATAATGAAGATACAGGGAACTCGCAGCGCCACATCCAGCAGCGCTAAGGCCTGCTGGCCTATGCGGGCTTGGGTGGTCGCCATACGGCTTCAGCTGAGGTTTTACAGTCCTGGTCAGTCCCGGATATCCGTGCCACTTTAACACATGTTCAAGTCCACCAAGTGTCGTGTTATTTTGTTTGGTCCTGACGGTTATTTAACAGCTAGCGACCTGTCGCGGCTCGCCATATTCTTCCAGCTCAACCCTCCTGTTGCTTCTTCAGTTTGTTAAATGTGACGCTCCAGCTCACATCCGGAGTCATTTCGCCATTAAAATTCAAAACGCTCCATCCGATCCTGCGCTGGTTAATGTCACCAAAAACATGGAAACAACGACAACACACTCATTTCCTATAGCTCTGGCTTTACGAAGAACACAAAGTTGTTGGGTGATTCAGATGTGACGTAACGTGACGTACAACTCGTCGTCGGTGGGTGTGACGGCTGACGCAACGAGACCCACGTGCTTCCTCTTTTTTTTTTTTACTGAACAACAGGATGAATGTATAATAATAACTCTTACTATGAATAAATTAAAGATGTTTTTATGTGTTTCAGTGTATTTTTTTTTACAAAACACAAAAAAGCTAAAAAAAAGGGACGATGGTTGCCAGTTATTGATCAGCAACGGAATATTCTAGATGGCAAGTCATGCACAGTAAGATGATTAGCTTATAAATACATTTCACTGTCATACAGAGTTGTTAGTAATTGAAAATCAGCTTAAGATATTGTCAGGACCTATATGTATATGTCGATGGTCAGAACAGATAATAATTTTCTAATGCACCATTAGCAGTTAGCTCAACATTAGCCTCCAGCCTTTTTTTATTTTTTTTTACCCGATATTAGAGTAAAACAAAAAGGTTGCTGTGGCTTCTTAGGGTTATAACTAATTACTGGGGCACTCCTTTTACTGGCTAACATGATTTCCACAACCCTGCTGCATTTTGCCAGTTGGTGCTGCAACTACAAATGTGGGCTCAGTGTTTGAAGACTTGGCAACTTTGCTAGCTCACATATGATAGGATCTGGAACCAGGAAGAATAGAGGCAGGACAGATTGGCTGTAAACAGACTGTGTCCTTCTTCGGGCCTTTTAAAAAGGAGAAAAACTGAAAAAAATTAGATAAATTTCCTGGAAAGTTCTTACTTTCTTTATTATTAACTTTAAAAATTACAAATAGGATACATTGGAAGATACTTTATATTTGCAAATGACCATACTGAATCTATAAACCTTTTCTTTAGGCACGTGCAAACAAACAAGCATTCATTAGACAATATAATGCCATAACAATATCAACTGTTTTCAGCTGGAGCTAAAGAAAACTTTGATGGTGTTGTTGTAGATAGTGTTGGCCAGCTCAAGTGGGTCTTCATCTCTTGTACCTGCCATCACCTCAAGAACTTGTCTATTAAAAACAAAATAAGAGAACGATGGAATTAAAACGCATGAACAATGATTTATTATTATTTTTTTTTTTGCTAATCCCTAGCAGTACTCACACGATGTGACAGGGCTCATTTCTATCCTTCAAACAATGCCCTGCCTCCCATTTCTTCTTTGTTGGAAATGTGGTTTTAACATATTTGGAGCCCACATGAGTGTTCTTCACACCACACCATGGGGCATCTGGAGAAAGAGAAAAAGGCAAAATGCAAAAAAATGCACTAGTTTGTACTCACGGGGTAGAAATTCCATTACCCAACAAGGTCAAGTAATACAAATGGAAGAAAAACTTCTTATACCAACAGAAAGTTTGGAGGTTTTGGAGATCAGAGCACATCAAAGACATTGGTCCATTTTGTCAAATGGCTAAATAAATAAAAAAACTAAATAAATCAATAACCCATAACTCACCAGTTTCTATCAAGAGTCTCTCTGTGGGGATTGACTTCATGGCTTCAACATTGGCTGTTGTCTTCAAGGAGCTGAAAAGTTGCACTTGATTATTAGAGACATTGTACACAAACTGAAAAAGCTAAATGCTAGCCTTTATATGAGTTACTGGCACAGTAACGTTCACCCCGACCGTTCCTCCACCACTCACTTGTAGCTAACCAAGCCACAAACTTGTTTAGTGCAACTTCTGTTCAGCAGAGTGCTGTTCCATGTGAATTTGCTCAAGTCCATGGCTCAACAACCACTGAAACCAGTTTGAAAGCAATAGCTTAAAGTGTTAAAACTCTGAAGTATAGCTTTAATTATTATAATGTCCCTCTGGGATTATTACATTTTTCTATTTATTGCCCATCCATCCATTTTCGGCTGTTTATCTGGGTCGAGTCGCGGGGACAGTTCAATGTTTAAACATAATTTATTATCTTGTTAAAATAACATCTTACCATCCATTAATGCCAATGTACAGATCCAGGTCAGTGAGTGCAGCAGCATCTTCTACCGTCCCATCGAATGAGTGGACCTGATGGAGACAGTAAATCAGATGAATTGGGATCTAGTATTTTCTCATCAGCCACCTAACTTTTAAAGCATTTCCATCATTTTTAAAGCTTTCCAAATCTAGGAAAACACACTTTTATAGTAGTTTTCAGTTAAATCTTAAAAAAAAAAAGTCAAATATAAAAATGGTAAAATATAAAAGAAAAATTCTCACCACTCCTCCAACACATCGGTCTCGATTTCTCTTCATGATGTCTGTTGAAATAAGGATGAAAACAGTAAAGAGCTTTGTTAAGAACTCCTCTTGGTGCAGATGCTTGTGGTCTGAAACTACCGATGAATTCCTGATGGGAGTTTCTGCAGTGCAGGAACATGGGCAGCTTGGTTTCCTCAGCCAGATCAAACTGCTTCTCAAAGTATCTACAGGGGGTGAGCGGAGGGAGGGCAGGGGATAGAAACGTCAAATGAAAGCTTTTGCAGAACTGAGATTTCAACATGGCGCTACTGTAAGTTTATTTCTCTGAAATTTAATCCTGAAGATTTTGCAAAACAGTTGTTCTAAATTCTACGTGGCTTAATCTGTTTTTAACAATGGCGCGGTCAGCTGCTACTATAGAAGTAATCATTCATTAATAAGTTGGAACACTCAGGAGAGACACGATGACTTACTTCAGCTGAGTCTCTTTGGGGCAAAACTCCAATCTGTCAAAATCTGGAACGAAAAAAAAAATAAATAAAACCTAATTTTGAAAAACAGCACTTGTGAAAGAAAAAAACTAAACTGGGTCTGTTATAAATGACTTGTTACATTTAAACCCACCAAGTCCACACTCTCCAATAGCCACCACCTTTCCTCTGTGAGCTAACGCCAGCTCCTTCAGCCCTGAGAGGTACTCCGATTCTCCCTTCTGCTCAAACTCACTGCAGCGGGTTGGGTGGCAGCCGACGGTGCAGTAAAATCCCTCTGTAATAAACAATGATGTGTGTTTAAGGAAAATAAGGGACTCTCGACAGATGCGTTAGAGGTGTGAATCTTCACTCGTCTCCCGATTCGATTCGATTACGATTATTGGGTCAACGATTCAATTCGATTCGATATCCCGATGCATCACAATTATTTCATATTGATTTGTTTTCATCGATAAATAGAAGATGTCAGATAATTGCTTTTTATTTTTTTATCAAAAACGTAAGTGACACAACCTGCCATCGTTCAAAAGCTCTCCATTCACGACAGGTTAGGACAAAACATTTAAACATTTAAGAAGATTTAACAAAGTAAAACATCTGTTTCCTCGTTCAACACCACGCCTCAGGCTGAGAAAAACACGCTTTGCTAAAACTCACAACATCTGGAAAAAGTACTGAAAACCTACAGGACACATAATGTAATAATCAGATACATAATGGGTTCATATGAGTGTTTAATGTCTCTGAGCAGCATTAGAGTCAAATATTTATGCCACAGTTGAAGGGTGTCAGAAATAACACCAAATGAAATGTTTGATTTAGTTTGTTATTTTATTTGAACCCAGTGGTTCATTTCTGAAATGTTGGAGAAGGAATCAAGTTCTGTTTGATGCAGAAAATAAAATAACATCAAACAAATTCTACACTCCATTAATATTTAAGATGTGTGTTTTATTCTTCCTGATAATAACACCAGCAGAAGGCTGTGGGCTGGATTAGGATTAAATTACCCAGCTGATGGATCTCTTTCACTAACCAGCTAACTACAAACCTTTCCACTAACCTGTCCTGTGGGACCCTCACCATGTAACCCTCATGTCCATGCTGTCTCTGGAGGAGCAGATAGGAAACAAGACCTCCTGTAACTTAAAATGAACAAAAGCTTCCTCCCAGTTTCTCTTTAAGCTGAATTTAACATCAGTTTATCATCATGACACAAAAGAATAAAGTGGAACAAGAACTTCTATCTTCTATTTCTCTCTCCTTTTAACTTCTCTGTGTCCCTAAATAAAAGAGACAGACGATCACGCTGCAGCCGCCGTCATCGACCCCGCCCCCTCCCCAAGACCAGATCTCCCTACATTACAACAAGCAGTCTGACTGAGCGCTTCCAGGAGAAATATTAATTAAATTATGAAAATAATAACGCGTGTTTGGAGGAGCGTCCTCCGATCCTCTCTTGTGTGAGCAGACAGTGTCTCTCTCTCTCAGTCGCTGATCGAGCGAGCGGAGCGCGCAACGCGACAACCCGCTCAATTAACTTCATTCACGGCCCAAATCCAACAGAACCGGTCGGGCTGATTCGGTTCCGGTTCGTTCTCAGGTTACAACTCTAGCGCTCAGCCCTGCAGTACCACATTAAGGCGGAGGTAAATGTGGAGGACGCTCACTCTGACAGATTTGGATGCTGCGCCGGTGCCGCTATTAAGAAAACCAAACTACATTCCACTCTAATCGATTATGGCGTACTCTTCTACGATGCAGAATCGTTTATGTCTGCATCCTGATGCATTGATTATTTGATTATTTTCCTCAGCTCTAAAATGTGTCTTATTCTGTCTCATAAAAATGTTTAGTATCAGTTATTTACAAATGTGTTAATATAAAGATGTCACACATGCACTGATTATTACCTCTGGTCTCAGATAGTTTGACGGCTTCCTTGCTATCTTCAAGGTTTCCTCCTGTGATCATAAACTGAAACAAACCAACAGATAGAAGATTAAATCAAATCTTTTCTTGTTTCTTTGTTTTTTCATGATATCACAAGCTAGAATGAAAATTACTCCAAACAAGAACACCTACAGTATTTGATAGGGCCTATGGTTAAAATCTGATGTTAGCCTAAATCTGGACAAGTGGGGGAGTAGAGGGAGGTGGAGTATACAGTCGGTAAAGACGGCTCTCCCTTGCCCTGCCTCCAACATGCCTCCATCTAAATAGGATAGATTATCCTGAGTTATCTCTGTAGTTATGCTGCTATAGGCTTAGACTGCTGGAGGACACACTGACCACTTTTCACACTCTACTGCTTTCTTCTACAATCTGCTCTTTAACTGTATTATGTTCTGCAATTTCAGCTGTTAACTTTATTTTCTCTCTAAGTGTGTTTCTCCCCAGAAGAAGCAACAACGATGTTCTGCTGAGCTGTGGTGGCCTCATGGAGGGGGCCATCGTCTAGCACACTGCTGCTAACCACTTAAACATTCTCCCTCTCCTGATAATAACTTTTTTCTTTCCTTGACGTTGGATGTGCTACTACTAGTTTATCTGTTTAATTATAGATCCACTAGGATGAATACAATAAAGTTTGTCTCTCGCCAAATAGAATATTTACTAAGAAATCACAATGTAACCATAGACACATTGCTTTGTGTTCGTGTGTGTGTGTGTGTGTGTGTGTGTGTGTGTGTGTGTGTGTGTGTGTGTGTGTGTGTGTGTGTGTGTGTGTGTGTTTGTGTTCTGTCTTCTCGATCCCCAGTGAGTCGTGGAGGATGGCTGCTTATACTGAGCCAGGAGTTTTCCTCTCCACTATCGCTAAATGCTTGCTTGGTATGAGGATTGCTGTAAAGTCACTGACACTAGTCAGTGACTTGATGCAAATTGCTGGGTTCCTTATATAGGAAACATTATTTCTGATTGGCTTAATGAACTGACCTGGATTGGAATGTTTATTATGTGAAGTGCCTTGAGATGACTCCTCCTTGAACCGTCACCTTACTGTCACTGGAGGAGTTTGAGTGCCCTAATGATCCTAGGAGCTATGTTGTCTGGGGCACTTTGTGCCCCCGGTAGGGTCTCCCATGACAAATTGGTCTTAGGTGAAGGGTGAGACAAAGAACGGTTCAGAGGATCTTTCGTGGATGAACTATCAAGGAGTCGGAGTACCCGGCCCAGAGGGTTACCGGGGTCCCACCCTGGAGCCAGCCCTGGAGTTGGGGCCCGTGAGCGAGCGCCTGGTGGCCGGGCTTTCGCCCATGGGGCCCGGCAGGGCCCAACCCGAACCGGATACATGGGCTCATCCAACTGTGGACCCACCACCCGCAGGAGGAACATGAAGGGTCCGTTGCAGTGTGGATCGGGTGGCAGACCGAGGCGGGAGCCTTGGCGGTCCGATCCCCGGACAAGGAAACTGGAATTTTTGGGACATAGAACGTCACCTCGCTGGCGGGAAAGGAGCAGGAGCTTGTGGCAGAGGTTGAGCGGTACCAGCTAGAAATAGTCGGACTCACCTCGACACATCGCATTGGCTCTGGAACCCAAGTCCTTGAGAGGGGGTGGACACTCTCCTTTGCTGGAGTTGCTCCGGGTGAGAGGCGGAGGGCTGGGGTTGGCTTTTTGTTAGCCCCAAAACTCTGTGCCTGTGTGTTGGGGGTTTACCTCGGGGGACGAGAGGGTAGCTTCCCTGCACCTTCGGGTCGGGGAACGGGTCCTGACTGTTGTTTGTGCTTATGGGCCAAATATCAGTTCAGAGTACCCACCCTTTTTGGAGTCCCTGGGACGAGTGCTAGATCAGCGCTCCATCAGGGGGCTCCATTGTCCTGCTGGGGGACTTTAATGCTCACGTGGGCAATGACAGCATGACCTGGAGGGGTGTGATTGGGAGGAACGGCCCGCCTGATCTGAACTCGAGTGGTGTTTCGTTATTGGACTTCTGTGCAAGCCGCAGTTTGGCCATAACGAACACCATGTTCGAACATAGGGATGCCCATCGGTACACTTGGTACCAGGGCAGCCTAGGTCACAGGTCGATGATAGATTTTGTAGTCGTATCACCTGACCTGCGGCCTTATGTTTTGGACACCCGAGTGAAGAGAGGAGCGGAGCTGTCAACTGATCACCACCTGGTGGTGAGTTGGATCAGATGGTAGGGGAAGATGCCGCGTAGACCTGGCAGACCCAAACGCATAGTGAGGGTCTGCTGGGAACACCTGGAAGAAGAACCTGTCAAGACGGTCTTCAACTCCCACCTCCGGCAGAGCTTTGACCGCGTCCCGAGAGCAGTGGGGGACATTGAGTCCGAGTGGGCCTTGTTCCACTCTGCGATTGTTGAGGCGGCCAGTTCCAGTCATGGTGGCAACCCCCATACCCGCTGGTGGACACCAGAGGTTCGGGGAGCCGTCAGGCTGAAGAAGGAGGCCTACAGGGCGTGGCTGGTCTGTGGGTCTCCGGAGGCAGCAGACAGGTACCGGATAGCCAAGCGGGGTGCAGCAGTGGCAGTTGCCGAAGCAAAATCTCAGGCGTGGGAGGAGTTTGGTGAGGCCATGGAGAAAGACTATCGATCGGCTCCAAAGAGGTTTTGGCAAACTGTTCGGCGCCTCAGGAGAGGGAGACAGCAACTCGCTCACACTGTTTACAGTGGGGATGGGGAGCTGCTGACATCAACTGGGGCTATAGTCGGACGGTGGAAGGAATACTACCACCAATCCCACCTACGCGCATTCCGAGGAGGAACCAGAGCAGGGAGACCTGGGGATGGACTGTCCAATCTCGGGGGCAGAAGTTGCTGAGGTAGTCAAACAACTAGCACCAGAGACGGATGAGGTTCGTCCTGGGTATCTCAAGGCTATGGATGTCGTAGCGCTGTCATGGTTGACACGTCTCTGCAACATTACGTGGTCATCAGGGGCAGTTCCTGTGGAGTGGCAGACCAGGGTGGTGGTCCCCATCTTTAAGAAGGGTGACCTGAGGGTGTGTTCCAACTATAGGGGATCACACTCCTCAGCCTCCCTGGAAAGGTCTACTCCAAGGTACTGGAGAGGAGGGTCCGATCGATAGTTGAATCTCAGATTGAGGAGGAGCAATGTGGTTTTCGTCCTGGCCGTGGAACTGTGGACCAGCTCTATACCCTTGCAAGGGTGATGGAGGGGGCATGGGAGTTTGCCCAACCAATCCACATGTGCTTTGTGGATTTGGAGAAGGCTTATGACCGTGTCCCCAGGGGCACCCTGTGGGGGACGCTCCAGGAGTATGGGGTGGGTGGCTTTCTGTTAAGGGCCATTCAGTCCCTTTACCAGAGGAGCGTGAGTTTGGTCCGCATAGCCGGTAGTAAGCCGGACCGGTTCCCGGTGAGGGTTGGACTCCGCCAGGGCTGCCCTTTGTCACCGGTTCTGTTCATTACCTTTATGGACAGAATTTCTAGGCACAGCCGTGGTGTGGAATGTGTCGAGTTTGGTGGCAGGAGAATCTCGTCTCTGCTTTTTGTGGATGATGTGGTCCTCCTAGCTTCATCCAGCTCTGACCGTCAGCTCTTGCTGGGTAGGTTTGCAGCCGAATGTGAAGCGGCTGGGATGAGGATCATCACCTCCAAATCTGAGACCATGGTTCTCGACCGGAAAAGGGTGGCTTGCCAACTCCGGGTCGGGAGAGAGGTCCTACCTAAAGTGGAGGAGTTTAAGTATCTCGGGGTCTTGTTCACGAGTGAGGGTAGGAGGGATCGGGAGATCGACAGGCGGATTGGTTCGGCGTCTGCAGTGATGCGGACGCTGAGCCGATCTGTCGTGGTGAAGAGGGAGCTGAGCCAGAAAGCCAGGCTCTCGATTTACCGGTCGATCTACGTCCCGATCCTCACCTATGGTCATGAGCTTTGGGTAATGACCGAAAGAACGAGATCGCGGATACAAGCGGCCGAAATGAGTTTCCTCTGTAGTGTGGCCGGGCTCAGCCTTAGAGATAGGGTGAGGAGCTCGGACATTCGGGAGGGACTCGGAGTAGAACCGCTGCTCCTCCGGATCGAAAGGAGTCAGTTGAGGTGGTTTGGGCATCTGGTCAGGATGCCTCTTGGACGCCTCCCCGGGGAGGTGTTTCGGGCATGTCCTGCCGGCAGGAGGCCCCCGGGTCGACCCAAGACACATTGGAAAGGTTACATCTCCAATCTGGTCCGGGAACGCCTTGGGGTCCTGCCAGAGGAGCTGGTGGAGAAGGCCGGGGAGAGGACGGTCTGGAGCTCCCTAGTTGGGATGCTGCCCCTGCGACCCGGACACGGATAAGCGGAGGAAGACGACGACGAAGCCTTGAGATGACTCTTGTCGTGATTTGGCGCTATATAAATAAAATTGAATTGAACTGAATTGAATTGAACTGAACTGCAATTATGTAAGTCAATAGATCTAATTGTATGTTGTTTAGAGAGTAAACTATTATTTATTCTGTCATTTTTATACATACATTTGTGGATTTAAAACATTAAGAGTATAGGTGTTTTTTTTCACCTTGCAACTTCAAATCCAACAAAACCTTTAGCCTGAATTATCGATCAAAAGTTTACACAATAGTCTGATAATATGTTTGCGCATAAAAACATCCATTATTTAAAAAACAAAGAAGCAGTTCAGTCTGCTATAATAAATGCTAGGTGATATATGAAAAAAATACTCCAGCAGACAAAAAAGCTAAAACTAGAACACATTCACTTACACCAACCTGCGGGATGTAAAACGTACCTTTTCAACTCCAGCTTTAAGAGCTCTGTCAATGATCTGGTCAAAATCATCTGTCAAAATTTAAAAATACAATAAAACACCGAAATCAGCTGCATCTAATTTGAACATGTGAATATTGACACTGAATGGCTCACCATCATGTTTCTGCTTCCCTCTGTAGACTCCTCTGAACATGGGATCTGTCAGGTTCACACCGATATCTGAGAAGGACCAACACTTAGATTTGTAAAAATGAAAAATATGTCAACAAGAGACACTTGAGGCGTAATTGTTATGAATTTGGATTTCTACTGAAATAATTTACAAATTTAGTATTACTCATAATTCATATATAGCTATTAAAAGCATATACCAGAATCTAACAAATGTGTTGTCAGTGATTAACAGGCAATTTAATAATAAACTGTGATTTAATGTGGCAACTAACTATTACAAATATTCTTATTGCTGCATGGATTGTTGTGTACTCCTTTAGTATGCTAGCTATACTGTACCTGCTCTAAAACACCAACAAACCACTTCCACGCCTTCTACAGCTCACACATATAGGACTAAATGTATTTGAATATTCAAATATATTCAATTTATCCATTAAAACCAAATGCCTCACCAATGAATTTAAGTTGTGCCATGGTTTTTATACTTCTGAAGAAAATCACACATGTAGTTTTCATCAATCCCATGATGCTTTACTTTACCGTAATAACAGTAAAACAATAAACTACAATATCTAAAAACGTTTTTGACAAGCTATTTCAAACTACTTATACGATATAGACAGGCATATGAGTAATACAGCCTTTTGCCTTAATTATACAGTTCTTAAACTTGAAATTAGAATTTGGCCAACAAGATATCAAATGTTTGTGCGCATTAATTACGGTGTTGCCGTGAAAGAACACAAACTCCCAGAATCCTCCGCGCTGTGAGAAGGTGACAGAGGACGGCAATAATGGCCTCTGCTTATCTTACTCACCAGCAGAAAGTGTTGAGGCTTTACAAAAAATCACTGAGGCACATCGAGTCATGGTGCATATTTAGGTAAGAGAAGCGTTTTTTGTTCAAAAGCTTCGTTTACTAGTCAGAATAATCTGCGACGCGATTTACATTCACCGTTGCTAAGCTAACAGTGAAGCAAACTGCTAGCTGCCGGTGGCAGGTCAATCCGTGTCGATAAAAATGGTCTGTTTGTTCCAACATCAGTTCAACTGTATTATAACTATGAGTTTGTAAAGTTGCAATAAGACCGTTTTTAAAAGTTTACTGGGAAATGTGAGATATGTGCACGATACAAGCTAGTTATTGAAAATGACTAAATTTAGCATAATTGAAGTTCAACAAATGAAAATAGCTTGTTAAATTCTTGTTAAATGTTGTCCAAACCATCACATTACGAGCTTTATTTGCGTTATTTATGCTATTTCATGGGTTGATATAATAATGTGTCCAAAATATTACAGTTCATTTTGTTTGCTGATGATACAAATATATTTTGTTCAGGGAATGACTTACAAATTATTTTGGAAAATATGGATTGTGAGATGACTAAACTTAAGAAGTGGTTTATGGACAATAAATTATTTATAAATTGGAATAAAACGAAATTCATGATTTTTGGTAACAGGAAGAATAGTCCATAGATGGTACTTCATTCGAAAGAGTAAATGAAGTAAGATTTTTTGGGGTCATCTTGGATCATAAACTTAATTGGAAACCCCAAATAAAATATATACAACAGAAACTGTGTAAAAGTATTAGACTTTTAAATAAAGTAAAAATATTTTGGAGTCATCAACACTTCATATATTATATTATTAATTTATTGTTCCATACTTCACTTATTTATAGAGGTTTGGGGCAACACATATAAAACAAACACTAATCCTTTGCTTTTATTACAGAAGAAAGCTATGAGAATTATATATAAAGTAGATGCTAGAGAACATACCAATAGACTTTTTATTGAATCAAAAATTATGAAATTCAGGCATTTGGTTAATTTGAAAACTTTACTAATTACCGTAAATCCTCTAATACAGGCCCGGGCCTGTATTTGACTCAAGCTCATCAAGCTCCAGGCCTTTATTGGAAGGAGGGCCAGTATTAGAGGCAGGCCTCTATTTCTATTTGAGCAAAATGAACTAATGGTTCGCTGGAGTTTTTGACAATTAAAAGTGCGCCCACATTTTCAAAGTTAAACACATTTCTTTTAACAACGGTAGTTTCTGCTTCAGCCCTCTCCCCCCTCCCCCTGCGCAGCAGCCGCAAACTCACTGATGCGCCTGCAGCCTCTCGGAGTTCCTGCTGCTCTAAACATTAAAATAATTATTTCATTTTCTGTTCCTCACTTCTGATTACCTTCAATGGTGTCTGTTTGTTGCAACCACCAGGTACAAAAACTAACTTGTTTTTATTTGACTATTTTTCTGTCCTGCCTGTTTATTATCTTCCTGCATCTCCTCTCAATCCTAAAGAAAAACTGCTACCTGGGTTCATATATATTCACCTCATGAGTTACCTTTGAACTGCAGTTCTAAAAGATCTACCGACCACAAAAACAGCGGAGCGCTTGCTGTTTGGCAGCTGTATCAGTGATCAGTGCGTCGGAGGACAAGGTGATGCGCGCAGCGTCCCGCTCCACAGCATGCAGCGAAACGCATCAGGTGCAAATAAAAGACAGAAAACATTAAAGGAAATGAACTGACATGAACGATCGCGTGTTAAATTAGTTTTTGAGGTGGCGACACCTGATTGTTACTGTGGCCGTGCTCAGGAGGCAGATCTACCGACCGCGAAAACAGCTGAGCGCTCCCTGCTGTGATCTGTGCGTCGGAGGACAAGTTGATGCGCCCCGCTCCACAGCAGCGATACACATCAGGCGCAAATAAAAGACAGAAAACATTAAAGGAAATGAACCGACATGAACGATCGCGTGTCAGTACCTACGGTCTGGCACTTGAGTTTTACCCCCAAAAAGAGAATGTGATCATACGATAATTCAATAGGGAGCGTGGTTTCACAGACGCGGAAGTGATAGCGTCGGTGCTCTAGGAAACCCCCGAGCGTTCGAGCGTCAACGAAGTGACACGGAAATGCCGGGCTTTCCAGAAGTAAGTAAGATAACTTACTATGAGCTGATAGTTCGTTGGATTGATCGGTAGGTTGGAAACTCTGATCGTGAATCTGAAGAAACGATGACTGAGTGTTGAGCTGGAAAGGCGACTTCCGTTTATAGCCGCGGTTTGTGACGTAGGTGCGACGTGAAGGGAATCCCCGCGAGGGGCATGCTGGGAGTCCCTACTTCGCGGATTATCACCTATCGCGGCCAGGTCTGGAACGCATCTACCGCGATAAACGAGGGATTACTGTAGTTCATACACCCCCTACTGCTGCTCTCCAGAGTGTTCTGCAGCATAATCAGCACGTTCTCTTTGAACTTGATAGTGTAATGACCTGGCTGGGGTTGTAAGCCAGGTGCATTCTGGGTATTGTGTTATATGTGTTTCCTATCGTTCTGCTAGTTCCTATGTGCTGATTTGCGTGTTGTGTGAGTGTTATGTAAGCCACAGGGAAGGTGATGTGTGTTCTGTGGAGCGGGTTGAATTAGCATGGTTAACTGACACCGTGACTCTGTGTGGTAGGAGCGTGATAGAGGATCGTGTCTGTAGCGTTACAAAGCGTTGAAGAAAAGGCCTAAAAAAGGTCTGTGTGAACTTCTACTGCCTCCTGCTGGTTGTTTTGGGGACTATAACCCTGCCGCTGGGACGCTCGTACTTGCTTGTTACTACATTCCATCCGGCCACAATAAGAGACCGGCCATTATTTACCTCCGCTGACTCCGACACCGGCCAGAATTGGAGACCCGGCCTTTAATTGAATACCGGCCTGTATTAGAGGATTTACGGTATGTTCAGGGCAAAAAAGAGGTTACTGCCAGTGAAGTTACAGTTGTATTTTAAATGATGGAGAACTTAGAAAGAAGCCTGTGTTTAAAAGAGTTTTTGCACGAACAACATTAAAGCAAATATGTATTTCAGTATATGGAGTAAAAGTATGGAATAATCTGGATTATGACCTGAAAAAAATGTTTAACCAGCGATCAATTTAACAGACTATATAAAGAAAAAAATCATAGAATCCTATGATTGATAAGTAAATATTGAATAAGTATATTGATAAGTTTTATTGTGATTTTGTTTACAAAGATGAGGAAGTTCTATACTTGGTTTGTGTATAAGGCCATTCTGTAAATTATATTGTATGAAGTAGAAAGGGGTAGGTCATACAAGACTTCTTCTTCCTCCCCCTTTTTTTCACTTAGGAGACGGTTGATGATTGTATTTTGCATGAATGATGAATGAAACTGCTGAGTGAGAAAATAAATTAACCATTAACAATTATTTTTGCTACAGTCTCAGATGACACCTTTTGATCATAATTTAGCTTTCCGGTGAAGTAAATACTTCAATGTGAGATAGGGCATTTGTTTTTTAACAAGCAGTTTATTTACAGTTTTGCAGCAAATCTGAAATATTGTCGCAAATAAAAAAACTTCAGGATATTTGGATCTGATTTGATTTTACTCAGGAGTGTTGCATACACATTTTGCATGCGAAAGAAAATAAAATAAGTATATTTAATATGAGCTGTTTGAATTTGAATTGGCTGAGCTTCCTAGTGAAATAAGTTATATGTTGTCATTATTGTTAATTGTTTAAGATTTAGTTTAGTTTCTTTAATTTGTCTCGGTTCTAAGAAAATACAGATGCATGTTTTATTATTTTCTGATTTATCTAGGTGCAGATACATTTGTATTCATTCATAGTTTTCTGTTTATGTAAAATAGTCAAGGTTAATGGATTTCTTGTTTTCTTTTCATAAACTTCCAGGAAACATTCTGGTTTTACGTGACATTGCTGATAAGGTTTCAAACTTCCTTTTGAATCGCAGAGACAAATACCGTTTCTACGCCTGCATGCTGCGTGCTCGTTTTGATGAGAACAAGAATGAAAAAGATCTGGTGAAGGCCACGATGATGCTGAAGGCAGGAGAGGAGGAGTTCTGGGCCAACCAGCATCCTCAGCCCTACATCTTCCCCGACTCTCCCGGAGGGACCTCCTACGAAAGATACGAGTGCTACAAGGTGAGGCTGAGCTACACACGATTGTGAAAATCAGATCCATTAAAATGTCGCCACAGAACTTATTTAACCCTGATGAATTATGTGAGCTCTGTTTTGTCCTTGTAGGTCCCAGAGTGGGTGCTGGACTGCTGGCATCCCTCAGAGAAGGCCATGTACCCTGACTACTTCTCTAAGAGGGAGCAGTGGAAGAAACTAAGAATGGAGAGCTGGGCAAAGGAGGTGAGCAGACCTAAACAAATAAAAATACAGGGTCAGAGATTTGATAATTGCCAAGTAAGACGATTATTGTGTTTATAATTAACTAAATATATTTGAAATAAATGCTTGAGTCCCTCAGCCTGATGTGTACAATTTAATTTTTCTGAACTTGGCAACATTATCCAGCAGATGGCGCCAGCGTTTAACGTTTAGAGCCACACGACCCTTGTTTTATCTAGTTGGCGTGCCACTTCAGAGAATGTTCTTCACTGATAAATGATGAATATTATTGTGTTTTTACAACAACGTGAATGATTTATTCTATAGTTGTATTAGAAGGGAACTTTGAAATGAGTTTTACTGCGATTGTGTGTTATTCTGAAGCTGTAGGTTTATGAATTTTTTCCCCCGGGGCGGATGAGATTCGTCCTGAGTATCTCAAGGCTATGGATGTTGTAGGGCTGTCATGGCTGACACGTCTCTGCAACATTGCGTGGTCATCGGGGGCAGTTCCTAGGGAGTGGCAGACCGGGGTGGTGGTCCCCATCTTTAAGAAGGGTGACCTGAGGGTGTGTTCCAACTATAGGGGGATCACACTCCTCAGCCTCCCTGGAAAGGTCTACTCCAAGGTACTGGAGAGGAGGGTCCGATCGATAGTTGAATCTCAGATAGAGGAGGAGCAATGTGGTTTTCGTCCTGGCCGTGGAACTGTGGACCAGCTCTATACTCTTGCAAGGGTGATGGAGGGGGCATGGGAGTTTGCCCAACCAATCCACATGTGTTTTGTGGATTTGGAGAAGGCTTATGACCGTGTCCCCAGGGGCACCCTGTGGGGGACGCTCCAGGAGTATGGGGTGGGTGGCTTTCTGTTAAGGGCCATTCAGTCCCTTTACCAGAGGAGCGTGAGTTTGGTCCGCATAGCCGGTAGTAAGTCGGACCTGTTCCCAGTGAGGGTTGGACTCCGCCAGGGCTGCCCTTTGTCACCGGTTCTGTTCATCACTTTTATGGACAGAATTTCTAGACGCAGCCGTGGTGTGGAGTGTGTCGAGTTTGGTGGCAGGAGAATCTCGTCTCTGCTTTTTGCGGATGATGTGGTCCTCCTAGCTTCATCCAGCTCTGACCTTCAGCTCTTGCTGGGTAGGTTCGCGGCCGAATGTGAAGCGGCTGGGATGAGGATCAGCACCTCCAAATCTGAGACCATGGTTCTCGACCGGAAAAGGGTGGCTTGCCAACTCCGGGTCGGGAGAGAGGTCCTACCTCAAGTGGAGGAGTTTAAGTATCTCGGGGTCTTGTTCACGAGTGAGGGTAGGAGGGATCGGGAGATCGACAGGCGGATTGGTTCGACGTCTGCAGTGATGCGGACGCTGAGCCGATCTGTCGTGGTGAAGAGGGAGCTGAGCCAGAAAGCCAGGCTCTCGATTTACCGGTCGATCTACGTTCCAATCCTCACCTATGGTCATGAGCTTTGGGTAATGACCGAAAGAACGAGATCGCGGATACAAGCGGCCGAAATGAGTTTCCTCCGTAGGGTGGCCGGGCTCAGCCTTAGAGATAGGGTGAGGAGCTCGGACATTCGGGAGGGACTCGGAGTAGAACCGCTGCTCCTCCGGATCGAAATGAGTTAGTTGAGGTGGTTTGGGCATCTGGTCAGAATGCCTCCTGGACGCCTCCCTGGGGAGGTGTTTCGGGCATGTCCTGCCGGCAGGAGGCCCCCGGGTCGACCCAGGACACGTTGGAGAGGTTACATCTCCAATCTGGTCCGGGAACGCCTTGGGGTCCTGCCAGAGGAGCTGGTGGACAAGGCCGGGGAGAGGACGGTCTGGAGCTCCCTAGTTGGGATGCTGCCCCCGCGACCCGGACCCGGATAAGCGGAGGAAGACGACAACTTTTTTTTTTTAATAAAAGTTTAGAAATGTGAAATTCTTTTTAAATCGTTCATTCAAACTTGTATGATGTCATTATTAAAGCTCGTATATTTTCTGACTGCTTCCAGGTTGCTCAGTTGGAGGCGGAGACTTCAGCTGGAGGCCCCAGAACCGAAGCCCTCCCTCCTGCTCGTAAGGAGGGCGACCTCCCCCCTCTGTGGTGGCAGTTTGTCACCCGTCCCAGGGAACGTCCAACATAAACACCTCGTCTCTCCTGGGATCAGTCCCGCTGTCTTTAATTGTGGGCGGGTACACGAACCACCAAACCCAACAAAATCGAGGCTGGCTGAGCTTTTTTCTGTCTGTCGTTTCACAACAACCCTGAATTCAGTGACTAGTAAGTTAAAAGGTTTAGGTTGGTTAATGACTCTGGAAAACTCTGTAGAAATACCTGTAATTGTTCTAACAAATACATTTATGATGAGTGATGTGTGTGTTCAGTTCAATGACTCGTTCCCTTAAAAGTGATTGTCACTGAAAGGTGAAGCAAGACAAAATGACTACTGGAAGAATAAAAATATACATTTATTGAACTGATTAAGCTTGAGATTAACAATATTCTGTTAAATCAAGAAAAATACAGGTTGAATACTAAACTACAGCTAAATATGAATAAATATGAAGTGTTCAGTGATAGAAAACAATGGTTTCGGGATCTTAGATGAGTCTGGTATGCAGTCTAGTTTATTCATCTGCAGGCCGCTGTTAAAAAGGAACAGTTTTCAGGAAACAGGTTTGTCTGGTTAAATGTTAGCATTGTTTTAGTTATAAAGTCTAACTTATTCAAGATAAACATTTGTGTATGAGATCCTTCAGACCTACAGTGGTGTGAAAAACTATTTGCCCCCTTCCTGATTTCTTATTCTTTTGCACGTTTGTCACATAAAATGTTTCTGAACATCAAACACATTTAACCAATAGTCAAAGTTAACACAAGTAAACACAAAATGCAGTTTTGAAATGATGGTTTTTTATTATTTAGGGAGAGAACAAAATCCAAACCTACATTGCCCTGTGTGAAAAAGTAATTGCCCCCCTTGTTAAAAAAAATAACCCAACTGTGGTGTTTCACACCTGAGTTCAATTTCTGTAGCCACCCCCAAGCCTGATTACTGCCACACCTGTTTCAGTCAAGAAATCACTTAAATATGAGCTGCCTGACACAGAGAAGTAGACCAAAAGCACCTCAAAAGCTAGACATCACGCCAAGATCCAAAGAAATTCAAGAACAAATGAGAACAAAAGTAATTGAGATCTATCAGTCTGTCAAAGCTTTATTTATAAATCAGTCTGGTAAAGGTTATAAAGCCATTTCGTTATCTGTATTAGTGTCAGTTAAATTAATGTCTACCAAGAGTCGAATACATGTATTATATGAAATGTATGAGACCATATTTAGATGAAGGAAATTGGGTATGGAAGTTAAATTTTTATGGGTACTGGCACATAGAGGAGTAGAAGGAAATGAAATGGCAGATTATCTTGCAAAAAAGGCAATAAGAAAGAGAGAAATAATAAATATTGCATATAGTGCCGCTGAAATTAAATCTATCATTAAAGCACATATAATGGACGAGTGGCAAAGTGTGTGGGAAAGGGGAGAGAAAGGAAGACATTTATTTCAGATACAAGGGAAAGTAGGAAAATGTAAGGATGAATAGTAGAGATCAAAGGATAATATCAAGATTAAGATTGGGACGTACTGGGCTTAATAATACGATGCACCTGATGGGGAAACATCCCACTGGTTTGTGTGGATGTGGGGAGAAACAGTGGAACATGTTTTATGTGCCTGCGTAAAATATGAGGAAAGTAGAGGACAACTCAGGGAGAAATTAAAAAACATAGGAGGTGGAGTGATAAATGTAAAGAATTTGTTAAATGGTGAGGAAAGGAAATATAAGTTGGTTATTGAGTATCTAAAACACAGTGGTTTGTTGAATAGAATTTAGTTTTTTTTTTGTTTGTTTGTTTTTCTTACTCTGACTCACACTCCAGCACAGTAGGTGGCGGAAATGCACCTAGCAGTTAGATGCCACCCGCCAATAAACACGAAGAAGATAAAGAAGAAGAAGTAGACCAAAAGCACCTCAAAAGCTAGACATCATGCCAAGATCCAAAGAAATTCAAGAACAAATGAGAACAAAAGTAATTGAGATCTATCAATCAGTCAAAGCTTTATTTATAAATCAGTCTGGTAAAGGTTATAAAGCCATTTCTAAAGCTTTGGGACTCCAGCGAACCACAGTGAGAGCCATTATCCACAAATGGCAACAACATGGATGAGTGGGAAACCTTCCCAGGAGTGGGTGGCCGACCAAAATTACCCCAAGAGCGCAGAGACAACTCATCCGAGAGGTCACACAAGACCCCAGGACAACTTCTAAAGAACTGCAGGCCTCACTTGCCTCAATTAAGGTCAGTGTTCACGACTCCACCGTAAGAAAGAGACTGGGCAAAAATGGCCTGCATGGCAGATTTCCAAGACACAAACCACTTTTAAGCAAAAAGAACATTAGGGCTCGACTCAATTTTGCTAAGAAACATTTCAATGATTGCCAAGACTTTTGGGAAAATACCTTGTGGACTGATGAGACAACGGTTGAACTTTTTGGAAGGCAAATGTCCCGTTCCATCTGGCGTAGAAGTACCACAGCATTTCAGACAAAGAACATCATACCAACAGTAAAATATGGTGGTGGTAGTGTGATGGTCTGGGGTTGTTTTGCTGCTTCAGGAACTGGAAGGCTTGCTGTGATAAATGGAACCATGAATTCCACTGTCTACCCAAACATCCTGAAGGAGAATGTCCGGCCATCTGTTGGTCAACTAAAGCTGAAGCCATCTTGGGTGCTGCAGCAGGACAGTGACCCAAAACACACCAGCAAATCCACCTCTGAATGGCTGAAGAACAACAAAATGAAGACTTTGGAGTGGCCTAGTCAACGTCCTGACCTGAATCCTATTGAGATGCAATGGCATGACCTTAAAAAGGCGGTTCATGCTGGAAAACCCTCAAATAAAGCTGAATTACAACAATTCTGCAAAGATGAGTGGGCCAAAATTCCTCCAGAGCGCTGTAAAAGACTTGTAGCAAGTTATCGCAAACGCTTGATTGCAGTTACTGTATTGTTGCTAAGGGAGGCCCAACCAGTTATTAGGTTCAGGGGGCAATTACTTTTTCACACAGGCCGATGTAGGTTTGGATTTTGTTCTCTCCCTAAATAATAAAAACCGTCATTTCAAAACTGCATTTTGTGTTTACTTGTGTTATCTTTGACTAATGGTTAAATGTTTGTCACACAAAATGTTTCGATCTTAAAACAAACATGCAAAAGAATAAATGAGGAAGGGGCAAATAGTTTTGCACACCACTGTACGTGTGTGTGTGTGTGTGTTTTGCATAGCTTTCTTTCCAAACCAACCCTGCTTAAGGCAACACAGATGATGTCCTTTCCAACAATTGGTGCAGAATTTTCTAAATAAAAGGTTGGTGCATGTTGTAGAGAAAGTCCATAATTTTAGGAAAATTTTAGAAAATGGTACAGTTTTAGTTGCAGCTCTCAAAGCTGCAGGTTATTTTCTAATTTGCTTTAGACGAATGCTCCATCGCTATGGCGACAGATGTGGTCTGAAGTTGCGTGGCCGAATCATCATGGTAACAGCCTTCAGAGAGTAGAAGTCAGAATCCTTCCAAGAAAACCAGACGATTCCATCTGGCCCCAGCAGGTTGTTAGCCTTCAGGGAGTAGCGGCCACCCTAATGGAGACACAATTTCAGTATTATTTCATATTTTGTTTTCTAATTGTTTCTGTGTTCATAATTAGAATGATCTAATCCACCTGAGCCTGCTTACAGTACATTAAAACAAGTTGCTATATCTAAATTATTTACATCTTAAAGAAAATTAGAACAAAACAAAGTAACTACTTGAACAAAGTACAATAAAAATAAGAAATTAGTACATTATTCCAATATTTCTTCTCCACACTTTCATTTCTTGTGGTATGTTTTAATTTAAAATAGCAAAACTTGATTAAAATGTGCAATCAACACCACACAGCTTTACAGAGTATTCTCCCACAGGTGATCAGTCAGGTTTACCTTGTAGTAGACTCCATTAAGGTTGGCATAGAAACACTGGTGGAACCACCAGCCCGAGTGGCTGATCTCAGCACAGATGTTTCCCGTGTCAGGTGTGCTGAAACGGTGTTGGTCATGATACCAGCCGAATGAATCCTCCACTGTCCCACTAAAACCAGCCACATGGAGCCGATACTGGTTCTCTTCACCGTCTATCCTGGAGTAGAGACAAAGATATCCTAATCAATAGCTTCATTCCTATTTCTATTAAAAAATTCAAGTACAATGTAAAACTTAATCTGTTCTGCAGCCAGCCACTAGGGGGCACTTCAGATTTGTTAGGGTTTGACAACATCCTTATCTCAGTCTTGTTATTGTCATTAGTTATTAAGCATGTTGATGTTTCTACCTGAAGGACTGATACAGGGCGTGTCTGTGGGCGTGGCTCCAGTCCTGCATATCTACACGAAGGCTGTAGTGACCCTGGTTGGACAGCTGGTGAAGCTTTTGGTTACCCAGCCAGTGTTCTCCTCGTTGTTCACCGAAGCCATCCCGATATTCTAACCAGGCGCGGTTAAAGCTCACCGACCCGTCTCGCCGTCGCTGAAATACCGTCCAGCCTCCGCCTGGTGCAAACACGTAATGGATATATTTCATCAGGTTTTTACTTTGATTAAACATATCAAAGTGGACTTATTCAGGCTCATGTGAGTGTTGGTTGGTCCGGTGTTTTGGGAAAATACAATCCATTCATTCATCTGTTTTCTTCTGTTCTACTTCAAGCTCTACGGCGGACAGGAACCTCCCATGGAGCAGAAGGGCTAAAGCTCTGACTGTTTTTGTGCATGTATGTGTATTTGGGGTCCCCCAGACCACAAGGGGGCAGCACACTTCCTAGTTACACAGCAACCTTTTTACAAACCACACATATGCTAATTTCACAAACCCAAACATTCCTCAGTCAGGCAAGAAGTCTGGCAAAACCTCTCGAGATCAAACATAATGTTGAAGTAAACAAACATGGCTACACACCATACTCAGCAGGCAACACAGACATCCAACACACTTCATAGCCCATATTTAGAATTCGAGTGGTCCTGACATCCATCTCAGCAGACCAGAGCACTCTTACTGCACCACACACAGTAGGAAAATCTGATATAATTATTCTTTATAGCATTAGGAGAATCAGACGCATCATTAAGACTGTTGAAAGTGGGAATCGGGTAAAAAAAAACATGTTTTTGCCTTGTGAACTGGGCCTAAACTTTAAAAGGTTCCCTTTTGCATTAAAGTGCAGAGAAAAATAAATCTTTAAGCAACGAAAACCAGTCTTCATCAGATCTTCTTGAAAACTGAAAAGTATTTAAACCCATTCCCGTGATTCTGAACTGTGTGCTTCTTACCATCTGTTTCCATGTCACAGTACACTGGGAAAGTGTTGCTTGGTGACATGACGATGGTGTAAACCCCAGAGCGACGGACACCGTTGTGATACAAAGACGCACAATCTGATGGACAGTGAGACACGTACTGTCCGCCTGAGGGACACCGGTACATAGAGAGAAAGAAAAACTCTTAACATAATTCATCTGAATCCTTTAGCTGACTGGCTGCTTTTGCTCAGCCTGACTTTTACCAACAAAACTCTAAAAAAGCATGTCTGTGAAACCCTAAAAATGAACACACACCATGAAACCCACAACTCACCACGATGGTTGGTGCATGTGTACCTGGTGGCAAGGTGTCTCTCATGCTGAGTGGGGGTGCTGCTCCAATCACACTGATCGTGCAGCCGGTGTTTCGGTTCGTGTGCTGCATGGAAGCTGACAGGTTGCGGAGCTGCGACTGCAGTTCGTACAGTACTGCTACATGCACGTGGAGCAGCGTGTCCACCTCAGCATGACGCAGCTCCAGAAAATGCAAGCGCTGGCTGAGGGTTGAGTTTAATCTGAAACTGTCTTCAGCCTGTGGAACAGAAGCAGCAGTAAGGTGGTTCTGGTCTACTGATGTTGCACAATGATACAGCGACAAAAAGGGCTGTTATGTGTCAATTGTAAGGTAATAAACACAAAATAGGCTAATTTATGCTAATAAAATCATAATTAGATTGTTCTAATTAAATCTAACATCGTTAGACATTTAATGAAACAAAACAATTGAAGTCTTCTAACTTATTTTAGTCAAGACAAGCCCGGAAGTATCCTCCATGCGTCAGGCAGACTTAAGGATGTAAGTACCCTGACTAAAAGGTCCTCAACTAATCCTGTTAAAATTCAGGGTTAAGGAGGGCTTAAAGGGTGTCAAGACGGGGAGATAAAGTTAGACAGAGCTTTGCAAACACACAGGCAGGTAAACAAAGAGAGACAAACAAAAGGAGCAATTCTGTGATGTCTTTTTTCTCACGTTTGAATGAATGCAACGAAGAAGAATGAACAAAATTCTAAGTGTTTCTGATTTCATCTTAAATGAAAAATCCTAAAGTCCTAAACACGATACGATGTTTGTGTGTGTATTTGCGCACGTGTGCGAGCCAACTTAACCTCTTACTTTGCATACAGATCCAAAATATGAATTATAGGCCCTTGAAATTTCATTCTACGCATTTATAGGCAAATGTCTCATAGTAAATAATGAGAATTCATTGTTAGGGTGTGGATGATTTGCCCAGAAGTCTTTTTTAACCTTAAACAAATCAATACACCCTTTTGACTCATCTACAAAGACAATACATGTCAACTTAATGAATTTGAAAACCCATCAAGTATAAAAGTTGTCCCTTATTGACACATTTGCTGCTTTTAATTAGAGAACACCTTTATTTTTCATCACCCTTGGGGAGTTAGTTTCTATCTCAGGCTCTCATTAGGTACACCCTAGACTGGTTGCCAGTCTATCAAAGGGGTTGCATACTAGCAACTAATCATTTATGCTCACACCAGGTCAATTTAGGGTCATCTAACCAATAACGGATGTTTTTAGACTGGGGGAGGAAACCAGAGTACCCAGAGGAAACCACCACCAGCACAAGGAGAACATGCAAACTCAAATATAAAAGGTCCTAGCTGGGAAACGAACCTAAAATCTCTTGCCATGAGGCAACTTGTTCATAGTGAGGGAATTAGTTCTGAAAACATGGCCATTGTGCAGTTTAGGCTATTTTCATGTTGAGTTGAGTTATTTTGTACAGTTGACTACAAAGATACATTCTGGTTAGCAGTCAGGTGCCGTGATATCTCTGGTGTGTGTTTACCAGCTATCAGATGAGACATGGGACAATACGGCCATAGAACTACTCTCACTTAACAGATCGCTGTCATCCAGCATTTCACCATCGTTGTTGTCAGCTGTGTCATTGATTAAAAGAAGCTCCATCACATCTGAATATGTACTATCTCACTAAAATCAGGACACTCCTCACTTAATCAACATGTTTAATACATGGGCAAGTTTGATGTGGAGAAACTTGGCTGACCTGCTGACTTCAACATGATAGAACACCAGTCTCCATGCCTCCATTACCCTCTATGTTTTAAACATTTCTCCAACACACCTGATTTAAATCAATGGCAGAATTCCCAGCTTTTTGCATTAGATCATGGTATAGAGGTAATTGGACCATTGCATCAGGTGTGTTGAAAGAGGGAGACAACCAAAACACTCATGATAGTGGCCCTTAGGACCATGATTGGGTATCGCTGTTATAGAATACCTTATGGATGAATTAGAGTAGAGAATGTGAACCAGGTCTCTTTGTCTATGCTGACCTTTAACCCTCTGGGGGCAGGCATTGCAGATTTGCAACAGTTAAAACCTACCTACCTGATTACTCCACATGCGTATTTCATGAGCATTTTTTTTAACTCAGAAGTACCCCTGAAGGACTTAGTTGTTCGTCCTTTTATCAAAACTTATTTTGAGCCTGAGAGGGTTAAAATGTGCCCCTGGAAGAATGATCAGAGTCCCCTGAACACACAGACCTCGTGAAGAGCCTTCTTAGAAGACTTAAATCTGTATAACCGCAAATGGTCAACCAACTCCATATTAAACCCTATGACTTAAAGTGACAATGTGTAGTTTTTACAATTAATCTCTAGAAATATCCATCGAAATTTTGTTGTAAATAAATTAAAATATACCCAGTTGTTGAAAAATATTGGTGGTTTCATAATATGTAATGATAAAAATTGGGTCTAAAATACATGGGAGCGGATCTAAGTTTCTGGGTAACGCCATGTTGGATGCCATGTTTCCTTCTACAGAAGCCCGTGTGGACAGAACGCATTTACCGATTTGTAACAAATGGTTACAAAACTTTCAGTATTTATAAACGTTGTTCTGTTACACGTTTACCTCTTCACTCGTTGCCGGTGATGAAAGAGAATCTGATGTTCTTGTTATTCAGCTGGAGGTTGCACTCCCAGGGATTTTTGACCCTAATGGCCATCTGTTGGTAAGGTTGTACTTGAACACAAAAATAATGCTTGCTTGCAATGATTTAGGTATCTACTGCCCCCTATCGCCAAGGAAAATACACACTGTCACTTTAAGAAAAGAACACAATTACAGTTCATGTAGGTGTAAAGGCTGGTGCACTGATGACTTTGGTAACAAAGGACTATTGCCAAGAAATGTCTTGTTTTGGACTAGTGACACTGTCTATGATGTCCCCTGCCTCTTGTCAGATAACTTCAGGAGACAGGACCCAATTCACTGCAATGCTACTAGGAATTAAGCAGTTTAAAATGATGAATGAATGAATGAAACAAACAAACCACCATGTTGCATCCAGTCTACCTGCATCTCCAAGACCTTGACCCGATGCCGATGATTCCGTAGCTCCTCCTGCAGCTCGGACATTGTCTCCCTCAGCTCCTCCAGCTGATCTTTCCTGTTCTGGTTCTCGTGAAGCCAAAAGGAGATCTCATCATTGCAGCGAAACATATCCGGGCAACGATGTTCTGTTGTTCCTACAGGAGGCAGCTTCGCCATCAGTTGGCACTGACCATTGGGCATGAGTTTGCTGCGGTACTCGCCACATTGTGCTGAATTGCCACTGGTTTGGTTCAAAGTCTGGTTGGTGACATCACCAATACCAATGGTGTCACTGCGAATCACCACTGGAGCGTCAGGGGTCAGGTCCGAGTAAGACTCTATTACTGAGGAAGAGGGATGCCAATCAGCATCCTCGTAGGTTCCCATGGCGATGTCAGGCACATTCCAGTTGGATTCCATTTGCATATCTGCTGCATCCCTGCGTGAACGGGTTTTCATGTCTTGTTCATCTTCTTGTTTTTCTGTAAGAGTGTCAGTGCGACCATCCTGCTGGACGTCATGGTTTTTGCCTGAACCCAGAACATTGGCACTGACAAACTGGAAAGACCAGCCAGTGAGTAAAGCAAATGTTAGCAACGCTGTTTCCAACTTCATCTTAAAAGTGTAGAAGGTTTATCTCCCTGGTCAGTGCTGATGCTGGTAATGATCCACAACAAATTCAAGTCAGATTTAACTGGATCAGCATTAGAGGGCAACATCATAGCAACATGATCTGTCAAATCACGTGCTTCAGAGTGGTCTTCTATCCAAAGGCATGTATCAGCCTGCTTTTGTCTTGGTTCTTCAGTCATAACAATGTGGGAATAATGATTATTTTAAAGTCTTCTTTCACAGATCATGTCATTAATTTTACAAATTACAGTCAAATATACAACAAAGCAGGTTGTGTTTTGGAGCTGACCCTTCACCAAAAGCAGTTGTAGCTTCCGCAGTCAAATCCACCACTTGGTCATGATATCCAGTTTTAAATGATCAAAAATAAAAAAGAAAAGAAAAGAAAAGTTAATGACAAAAATAAATAATATTAATCCTGATTTTACAGAGCAAAACAGAAACCTAAAACTAGAAATAAGCAAGAATTTTGATGTTTAATTTGTTTCTTAATTATTTTCTCTATTAAATTAGCAAAATCCTACCTGTGTCCATGTTCCAGATCTGAACTCACCTCAGTGGAAAAGTCTGTCCACCTGTGAGTGTGGGTGTGGATGTGTGGGTGTGTGGGTTCAACACAGGGTATGACATCTTATCCAGATAATCTGCTAAAGAGATTGGCAGCCTTGGCAGGTAGTGAATCACAATGACCATCACAGTAATCTGATTACTAGTTACAGGAACTGCATTACCAAAAACAAGCCAATAAAAACAGCATGTACACACACACACACACACACACACACACACACACACACACACACACACACACACACACACACACACACACACACACACACACACACACACACACACACACACACACTCACACACACACACACACACTCACACACACACACACACACACTGTCTGTGATTATGTAAAAATCACTTTTTGGAGCAGATTTCTTTTGTTGCTTTACTTTTTTTCATCTATCTTATTAGTAAAAATATATTTTTATGTGATTAGTTAATATATATAATTAGCTGTAATTGTCATTGCAATTGTGACATAAACTACTGTATTTCATCTTACATTAAAAGTAAAAACATTTCATTTTATTTTGTACAAATGAGCATATTGAACATTGTAGTGAAATAAATCATTAAAAATCTGAGCAGAATGAAACATTTATTGTTATATATTTTTAAACTGCACCTGATTAGTTCATCTGAGTCAAACAAACATTTTATTTCAGATCCCCATTATCTCCTTATTTCCTCCCTGGCTATACTAAAGAGCTGTGTCTCAGTAATGGTCTGAATGGAAGTTCAAGGTTTCCCTCTGCTCACTAATGGGTTTATATTTACCTGGACCAGCTCTTGTTGTTCCATTAGAGAAAGGAAAAACTCCAACTTTTCAATTACCACTGAAATAAATGACAGCACTGACTTTAGAAACTTTAGAAAACATCAAATGGAAATTTGAAATATGACCATGGCCAAAGGTTTACGGATTAAAATTCACAAATATTACTGATTAAGTGTTTTTAAAAAGTATTTACTGTAAAGAGTTTTGACAAATTCCAATCTGGTTTTTGGAGGAAGCATTCAACAGAAACAGCTTTGCTTAAAGTTTCCAGTGACATCATGATGGCTGCAGACAATAAGGAATTCATACTGTTAGTATCGTTAGATCTTTCTGCAGCTTTTGACACTGTTGATTACAGCACCTTAATTGACAGACGTTGCGACTCAGTCGGGATCGCTGGAACTGTTCTAGACTGGTTTAGATTGTACCTTTTTAACAGAAGTTAGTGTCTGTCTGAACCAAATCATGTCAGATTCTACCGATCTGTTTTGTGGGGTACCCCAAGACTCTGTTCTGGATCCACTGTTTTTTCTACTGTACATACAGCCTTCAATGTAGTAAGCTGATCTGTAACAACCTTTTCCAGTAATAAATAAACTAGGACCCTCCCTGCACCCCCCCCCCCCCACACACACACACACACACTCTACTGCACACTCCATGTTTGCTTCCCTCTTTCATTTATTATTATAATTATTCATTAAGCTGCCTAACTGCCACATAGGATTGACTGGATAGTGTTGTTAGCCTCAAGCAGGTGCGCAGATAGGGTGGGGGACGGGGGGGATCTGTCCCCCCAGATTCAGATCGACCCCGATCCGGCCCCCGCACTAAGGCCAGAAAGAAAACAAAATCGGAGGTTTAGCGCTTGAAGCTCCTTTTTCCAATTACACTGAATGCAGCATGACATAAACAAACACCGACTCCAGAGGCGCCAAAGTGGTTGCTGCTAGGGTGCAGGGTGAAGCGAAAAAGGCAACGATTACTGCGTATTTAAAAAAGACCAACAGTGTAAGTAGGCTGGACCGATCTGTCTGTTTATGCATGTTGGTTCTAGATTCAGTACATTGTTGTCAGTGTTGGGATTTACTCGTTATAAGCACCAACGCCTCATTGCTGACTTTAACAAGTCTCATCTACAAATATGATCCCTCATGAAGTTACTACTTTACACCAGAAGATAGTGGAGATGTGGAACCTTCAGGCTGAGCAAAGTTTGGGAGTTTTTAGAGTTTGAAAATCGCCTCCCGCCGAGAGGCTCCCAGTCGGGGAGAGGAGATGTGTGCAGCATGAAGAACGCAAATATTAGATAAAACGTATAATAGCCGGCAGGTCTGGTCTTGACTGATCACTTTGTCTGGTAATGACTGACTCTGATTATGAAGCAGAATATTGACTCTGATGAAGAAATTCACTCATCCAGCCGGGAAGATTGACGCTGCTGCAGCATCAGACAGCTGGTGCTGCACGAGAGGTGTGTGGAGTTTACAAGCTCCAAACGTTGGGTTTGGTGTTGGTTTAACCTTCTCTGGGACGTGATGTATGTAGAAATGATGGTAAAAACACCGCTAACGTGACAGACAATGTAAAAAAAAAAAGCCGTAAAAACGAGGCAGATGATGCGTTAAGTACTGAAGTCAAGTGTGCCACATAATCATAAAAAAAGTAAAATATTAAATTTAAAAAGAGATTTATATATTTAAATATAAATAAAAAATTTCCAAATATAATGAAAAATTCTAACTAACGTAACAATAAGAAGGAACATCTTTTGGTCAGGCTGAAAAGTTTAGGAACCACTGCTCTAAGTGATAAGTGAATATTGTTTATTAAATATATTTTATGTGCAGTTTTTTAGGGCTTTTATGTTTTCTGTAAAGATTGGTATGCTGAAAATCCTTTAATGTTATGCATAAAGCATGAGGTTTTGGTTAGTAATCGATTGGGAGAACAACAAATGACTGATTTGGATATTGTTGATCAGGCAGAGCTTTGTTGCCAGCGTTCCATTGCACAATGGCTTCAAACACGTATATAAAAGTGTTAGTTTTTTCATAAACCATTGGAGGAAATTACACAAACTCACTGTGCTCTAGTTAAGGCTCTTGCAATGGTTTGTGAATGTGTACGTAGAGGTGTGAATCTTCATTTGTCTCCCGATTCGATTCGATTACGATTATTGGGTAAACAATTCAATTCGATTCGATATCCCGATGCATCCCGATTATTTCATATTGATTTGTTTTCATCGATAAACAGAAGATGTCAGATAATTGCTTTTTATTTTTATTTTTAATTTGGATCAAAAACCGTAAGTGACACAACCTGCCGTCCCTCAAAATCTCTCCATCCACAACAGTTAAGGATGAAACATTTTAAACTTTAAGAAGATTTAACAAAGTAAAACATCTGTTTCCTGGTTCAACGCCACGCCTCAGGCTGAGAAAAACACGCTTTGCAAAAACTCACAAAATCTAAAAAAGTACTGAAAACCTACAGGACACATAATGTAATAATAAATACATAATGGGTTCATATAGGAGTGTTTAATGTCTCTGAGCAGCATTAGAGTCAAATATTTATGCCACAGTTGAAGGGTGTCAGAAATAACACCAAATGAAATGTTTGATTTAGTTTGTTATTTTATTTGAACCCAGTGGTTCATTTCTGAAATGTTGGAGAATGAATCAAGTTCTGTTTGATGCAGAAAATAATAAAACAGAAAACAAATTCTACACTTCCAGTAATATTTAAGACGTGTGTTTTATTCTTTCTGATAATAACACCAGCAGAAGGCTGTGGGCTGGATTAGGATTAAATTACCCAGCTGATGGATCTCCTTCACTAACCAGCTAACTACAAACCTTTCCACTAACCTGTCCTGTGGGACCCCCTCATGTCCATGCTGTCTCTGGAGGAGCAGATAGGAGACAAGATCTCCTGTAACTTAAAATGAACCAAAGCTTCCTCCCAGTTTTTCTTTAAGCTGAATTTAACATCAGTTTATCATCATGAAACAAAAGAATAACGTGGAACAAGAACTTATATCTTCTATTTCTCTCTCCTTTTAACTTCTCCGTGTCCCTAAATAAAAGATGATTACGCTGCAGCCGCCGTCACTCTCCCCTGCCACCTCCCCAAGACCCGATCTCCCAACATCACAACACTCGGTCTGACTGAGCGCTTCGAGTTGAAATAATAATAAAGAAAATAATAATGCGTGTTTGGAGGAGCGTCCACAGATCCTCTCTCGTGTGTGAACAGACAATGTTTCTCTCTCTCTCTAGCTCTCTCTCTCAGTTGCTGTGAGAGCGAGCCACGCGACAACCCGCTCAATTAACTTCATTCACGGCCCAAATCCAACAGAAGCGGTCGGACTTATTCGGTTCCGGTTCGGTCTCAGGTTACAACTCTAGCGCTCGGCCCTGTAGTACCACATTAAGGCAGAACCACTTGGTAAATGTGGAGGACGCTCACTCTGACAGATTTGGATGCTGCGCCGGTGCCGCCATTAAAAAACAAAACTACATTCCACTATAATCGATTATGGCGTACTCTTCTACGATGCAGAATCGTTTATGTCCGCATCCCGATGCATCGATTATTTGATTATTTTCCTCAGCTCTAGTGTGTGTGTGTGTGTGTGTGTGTGTGTTTGGGGGAGGATACATTGGAACTTTGTCCCCCCGGTTTGAAAATCCTATCTGTGCCCCTGGCCTCAAGGCCAACCTGCAGGCTGGATTATCATCGCCCGTAAGTCGTTTTGGAGAAAACATCTGCTAAATACATAAACATAATTAGTTCTAATTATATTAAATGAATTAAAATATGTCAACATTGGCCTCAATGAATCCAAAGTCAAAAACATAATAAAACATACATAAGTACTGCTGATGCACAGGTGATTATTTTGTTAAAAGTCATAACTGGTACCTTTATGCGGGTCTTGAATACTAATTTAATTAATAATTGTACCTTAAATTGAGCTTCTTAATAAGTCACAGCATCGTTAACATGAAAAGTTCTAGTTTGCGCAAGTTTTACCACTAGGATTTATTTATTTTACATAACTGAATTATGTCCGGCCCTGAAAGTTTATTTTTGTTTAGAATGACTGGTGATGATGATGACGATGATGATGGTAATGATCATGGTGATGATGATGATGACGATGGGTGGAAAAAGCAAACAGAAGCATTTAATTGATTGTCCATTAAGAAGAAACTCATTCATGTTTATTGGTATGAATGAAGAAGACGGGGAGAGGCCGTGATGTCATCAAAGGTTTGTGTGTCCTTGGCTGAAAGGGTATAAAGTCGAAGATCGATTGGAGGGACAGAAGGAGAGACGACAGGAATCTGTTGGAAGAAAAAACGAAAAGAAAAAGAGGACAAAGGACGCAAAACAGAAGGTGAATATTGCCATAATTCTTTTATTTAGAGTTATTATTATTATTATTATTATTATTATTATTATTATTATTATTATTATTATTATTATTATTATTATTGTCATGCTTTAAGCTTAAAAACAACATTCTAAGGATATTTGTGATAGAAATGATTTTAAAAATCAAAACAGCTGACAGTAACTTTTTTCATGATCTTGGTTCTTTTCACTGCTAATGAACTATTTTGCTCAAATATGAAAATGTATATTTCTTTCTTTCAGGAATTAATGGGATTGGTTGTTATTTTTATCAGGATTTTAAAGCTTTAAAATAGCTTAAAATTGAAATTACAAGTATTTCGTCACCATTGGGTCATCTTACTGTCAGTTTTTATGAAATGTCTTTCTGCCATAGGAACAATGCTATAAACTAACCCTTTAATTTACACACTTTGCAAAAAGTAATGAAAACTTTTATTTCATTATTTGGCATTTTTTGGTAATAACAATAATAATAATAATTTTTTATGCAAACATATTTTTTTTAGATTGATTTTAGTTTAGACTTTTTCTTAAGCTCAGTACACACTTAAATCTAATATGATATAAAGTAGGTGATCACTGATCAGACGGTCATAATTAAGAGTTATAAATACCCCCCCCCCCCAAAAAAAAAACCCAACAACAAATGTATCCTTGAAGTTTGTGCAACAATAGCCTTTTATTCTCTAAATATGCAGCAGAACACAGGAGGATGCATCCTGTGTTGCTATTGGTGGCTTCAGCCGTGGTGGGCGTGGTCAGAGGAGCACATGGCCACTGCTGGGATCTTCCCAGTTGTCAGGAGCTCAACTCTGAGAGCAGCATGATGGTAAACCTGCACACACACACACACACACACACACACACACACACACACACACACACACACACACACACACACACACACACACACACACACACACACACACAAACACACACACACACACACACACACGCACACGCGCACACGCACACACACACACACACACACACACACACACACGCACACACGCACACACACACACACACACACACACACACACACACACACACACACACACACACACACACACACACACACACACCGAGTTAAATTGTTGCAATTTTCATGTGACAACTATATTTGCACCTCTTTTATTTGGGCACAGATCCAGCTGGGACACTATACAGATGTGGTAACATCATTATAATATGTCTTTTATAGGTCATGACACTCAAACAATCTCAGAAAATTCATGTTTTAGGGTAACTGCAACTGTCATTTCTTTATCTTTGCTTCTATGGGGTAAGCTAAAGAAGTTGAAGTAGAGCTGAACGTCAAAGCTTCTTTGTGGCTTGTACAGTAAGAACAAAAGTCTTTACTGACCATTTGTAGAAAAATTTAACAGCAACAAAGAAAGAATCCAGGTTTCTGACTCAAAGAAAATATGTGGTATTCTATCAATAAAACATCTATTTTATTATGTCGAGTTTGTTATGTTAAAAAAAACTGACCTGATTTTAATTTAAACTAATTTGACTGAACCAAAGTGGGTATATGGGTTTATGCATGCAACATTTTCATATTGTAAACTATTTTCTTGAGCCAGTATGTGCTAAAATGACCCATTACAGGATTAATAATATGTCACTTAGACCCCTGCTGACCTATGAGGCAAGAATATTGCACTTGCAACTTAAGAGTGCTGGTCCGGCCCCTGTTGGAAAACACAAGCGGAGCTAACGCGCCGCGTGTTTCAGTCTGCTTCCAGCATGTCTTCTGCATGTTTTAGATTGTGAACACAGCTAATTTGTTTGATTTAGTGACAAATCGTTTCTGTAGAAAATAATGAAGGCTGAGGAGACATTTCAGATTTAGATTAAGGTGTTTAAAAAAAACCAAAGGCACAGCAAAGAGATAAGTTTCACTTTCATTTAACAGAACACCAGGTGGTGCTAAATTCAAGCCAACATTGCCTACTAATCCTTTAAAAGGCATCACTACTGCTTCAACAATTCAGTGTTTTACATTTTGGACAGCTTAGTTTTATATATTTAATACTATGTTATATTTCAGTCATGATTATTAATATTTAACACAATTCAATGAACAGGGAAATTAGAATCTAGAGTTCACATTTAAAGCTGCATTCCAGAGTTTTCCCCCTTTCAGGATTTATGTAGGATTTTTTTAAGCAATCTTTAAAAGTGATAGACTTGCCATGTTCTGTGATATAATTTAGGCAATATGTCGATTATTTTTGCTAGGCCCACCTCTGTCCAATAGAGCCCCATGCAATTTGAATTGAAAACAACTTTGCATTAGCCAATAGCGTCAGACATCCAATTAAATTAAATTAAATTAAATTAAATTAAAGTCTAAGCTGTTTGACTGCTGATTTGCTTCAGCTGGTGCTGCACAGCAATGTGCCTCTCTCCAAGGTGCTGAGAGGGAGAGCAGGAAAAAGAGCAGAGAGGCAGCTTGCATCAGCGCTGTCCAGGGTGCTGATCTCAGGAGAAATTATGGGGGCTGTAACAATATATGAATAAACAGCAAAAAGTGAGAATATCAAATGTGAAACGGTGTGTTTTAGCTCTCTTGGCTGGCTAGAGGCATGTGCTCACAAATGAGAGGAGTTGCTTCCAGTCATAATCACAGAAGTGGGGAGAGGGGCTTAAGGTGCAATACATTTTTGCACCTCTAGGAGGTGCCATATGAGAAAAAAACACCACATTTCAGCTTTAACAATAGCATTTTCACATTTCCAACCTTACTTTGCATCAGTTTGATGCTACGTCCTCTTCTCTAGGTAGGCAGCTTGCTTTTTCATCAGTGGATGCACATAGCAGGGTGCAACATCTTAAGGATGAGTAAAAACCCCAAATGTTTGACTTTGACTCAGTTTTCTCTTTCCTCTGTCTTGCAGGAGTGCATCCAGCTCTGTCAGTCTGACTCACAGGACATGACCTTCATACCTGGCAATCTCCATCTTCGACCTTTTCCTTCATCAGATCCCCTTTCTCTTTTAGCCTTTTCCTCCTTACCTCAATCCAAACGCTCCTACTCAATGGAGCATTTCCGCTGGGGAAAGCCCCTTGGGAGAAAGCGCCGCCCGATCAAAATCTACACCGGGAATGGAGTGGAGGAAGAGTCGGCTGAACTTTTCCCTGGAGAAAACACAAGGAGGGAGCTCTCCGGGGAAATGACAGCTGCTGAAGATGAGGAGAAGGCAGCAAAAGAGGAGATGGAGCAGCTTTCAAACGACCTCCATGATAAAAAAGACACGCCGTACAAGATGAAGCACTTCCGCTGGGGCGGTCCCATGGTGAGCAAACGCTACGGGGGCTTCATGAAGAGCTGGGACGAGCACAGTCAGAGGCCCCTGCTCACACTCTTCAGAAACGTCATCAACAAAGACGTGCAGGAGGAGAAGAGGGAGCAGTGAGGAGTGAGGGAGGATGAGCAGGAAATGAAAACTTGTTCAGAAAGAGAATTTTTACTGGCAGACATGTCCTTTCACTATTTTATTTGGCTCTACTAGAAACCTTTTTTCTTTCCATGACAGAAAATATTGATCATTTAATTTAATTTAAGATTTACCTAATAATCATCGGACTGCCACGAGATTTGCACGGCATCATAAAAAAGTCATTTTATGAATATTGTTTTAAAGAAGTCAAAAATTTGGTTCAATTAAATATTTCAGAATTTTTCATTGTTCTTCTGAGTTGTGGCTCTGAGGATGAGGAAACAGCTAAAACTGCAACTGGTCACGGTGACAGAAATGTTGGTCATGCTTTGAATTAAAACTTTATTAACTCTGTCACAAACCAATACATTTTTTTACAGTTGTTGCTTTAATTCATTGTTTTTCAAATCACACGTTATAACTCATCTAGCCACAAGAGGGCGCTTGTTGCGCATGTTTTTTAAAGAAGCTAAACCACATTTGAAATTTTTATGTAACAAATGTGAGAAATGTGTTGATTAGCCGGAAAAAGGAAAAATCATAACCATAAACTTTAAATCGTTTTTAAATGTTTTGATTTAATGTCATTTAAAACATTCTGTCTTCTGCAGAGTTTCATTTAAAAGCAAATATTTGACCTACAAATAATATTTGCAGTCAAATATTTCTAAAGTCACTGGCATTTCTGATAAACACACTGATATTAAAGAATAACTTAATGTTTTTATATATAGTTTTGAAAGTTTTTCACTTCACAGATTTTACTTCTTGCAAAAATAAAAAAGTGTTTTGCTTTTAAACATAAAAATGGTGACAAAGACAATTCAAAACTCAGCTATTTGAATGTACAATTCACTAAAATGTTTGTGTTTTTTTGTGTGCAAACTTCTGATGTGCTCCTGCTTCCATCTTTGCTTCAGTTGTTATGAAAAAAGAAAAAGGCTTTGGAAAAAAAATTATATTTCACAATATGTACATAAAAACTGTAAAAGAAGCACAAATATACATTTATTTGCAACCACAGACATGGTGTGGATTTTTTTTGTGACAAGCACAAGCTGGAGCTGGATAAATTAGACCAAACACAAATATGTAAATATTAATATTTAAAAATATATTTGACATCACTGAATAGAAACCAAGTGCACCAGCTATAAGCTATTACCAGTGTAAGGGTTTAACCAGTGTACTTCCTGAAGTAGTGATGCTTTTGTCTGCAGATGAAATAAGGGAATGACATATATATTAAAAATAAAGAAATATGTAATTCCCCTGAAGCACGTTCGGACATAAGTGGTTTCCTCCAACTGGTGAATTTAATGAACTTCCACACACCTTTATCCACCATGAAAACTACAGAAAACATGGACAAAACAGGCATTAGCGCTTAAAGAAATAAAATACAAATTGTGGCTTTAATCTCAAGTGGTTCCCATAGAATAACACGCAGTCAGAAAACATACAAATATACCTCATTGGCTGTGTGCTGCCGAAAGGAATTAAACCAATGTTCTTCTTTTCCGCTTCTTCCGGCTCGTCTACCGACCAGTGTCCATGCTTATCTGCAGAGGTGGAAAGTAACGAATTACATTTACTCACATTACTGTGATTGAGTAGCTTTTTTGTATATTTATATGTTTTAAGTCGTTTTTAAAATCTGTACTTTTACTTTTACTTGAGTACGTTGTTAAAAAAGAATTGTAATTCGCTACATTTTAAATCATATCTGTTACTGAGTAAAAATAAATTGTAGGCTTAATAAATTAAAAATATTATGTGTAGCAGCATCGGGACAGAAAGAGACACCTGCATGAGCACAGCATCTAAACGGGTGGGGGGGGGGGTGGGGGGGGGGGGACAAACAGCCAATTTTACCGCAGTTTTGCTCGAAAACATCAGTTCAGTCCCTGTGATCCACTCGCCGTTTACCTCCTCTCTCCCTCCTCTCCTGGACGTAATTTTCACTTTAGAAGTGTGTGTGGGGTGGGGTGGGGGGTGGGGGGGTGGGGGGGTGGGGTGGGGGGGTTGAATCCTTACAGTATGCTCTAATGGGAAACAGGCTTCAGCACAAACAGTTGTTTTCCGCTTGGTCCTAGAGCTCAACCAGTGACAATTTAATATAGCGTAATATTGTTTTTGGATGGTAAAAAGTGCTGCGGTCAAAACTTGACTTTGGAAAAAGTGGGGGGGACATGTCCCCCCAAAAAAATTACGTCCATGGTTGGAACCCGCACCTTCAAGCACCGGTGTGACGTCATCACAATTCCACTCGGTTCGGTAACCAGACTCGGTTCCATGTTTGAATTGTGTTTCTCTACCGCTCTGCACAGCAGCGGCAAAATAACATTTAGCGCTCATAACAAGCGGATTCTCAGCGCTTTGCTCATAAAACAGAAGACCTGCAGGCCTCTGTGAGTTACAACATCCTGATACTGTTCAGGTGTAAACATTGTGCTCCATCCCTGTGTTTGAACTCAGAAGTTGCTCCTTGATGCCACAGATATGTGATGATTTAGCTTGTTTCTTTATTTTACTCCAGAATAAGAGATTAAATTATTACTAAAGCAGTTCAATGTTAGTCATTCAAAAGATTCTAACATGCTGCAGTGTGTGTGTGTGTGTGTGTGTGTGTGTGTGTGTGTGTTACACATATAGGACTGCATGAGACAGCATGGTTTCATCAAATCTATGTATCCTGTATCTTGGCTGAAGTAATGGCTCAGGAAAAGGAAAATAACAAATATTTCATAAATAATGACGTCTCTGCAGTGTTCATGATGATGTTTTATCTTATATTGGACCTATCTTTGGTCTGGGAGGTGTAACATATCATGATACAAGCCTTTTAAAACATGTTAAAGTGTTACAGAGGAGATTAATGCATGAATTTAAAGTGTTAGTTTCTGTTTTTCCCGCGCCGGTCACAAACATCAGATTTTCTTACAATTCCAGCCGTCAAAATCCAAAATCCTTTTTCATCTGAGGTTTTAATACACATTTACACATGCTGTTCAAGCGAATTTTGCCTCTGGCCGATATCTTTAAATGAGTGAGTGAACCCACTACCAAGGATGAACTCTGCTAACTTTAAAAATCAGCTGCTCTAAATAAGCATGAAGGTCAGAGAGGAGCTCTAGGATGGACATGGATAAAGGAACTGTAATGTAGAGGTAAGTAGGGCAGGGCCAACGTTAGCAGCTGTCATACGGTCCATCTGAAATGTTTGACTTTCATTTAGCTTGCTATGTGACAGGTTAGAGCACAGTCTCATGTTAGAGTTTTGTCATGAGAGCATTGAGATACCTCACACACTGATGGCATCTAAAAATTAACATATTTTTTTCAAAATAAAGAATAATTTTAATCACAATTGAAACGTACAATCCTAGAAAAACCTCGTCCAATCAGTGTGCACGTCCTGCTCTCACCAATTAGATAGAAATCCTTCCATCAAACTGTGTGTGTGTCCGTGTGTGTGCGTGCGCACAGGAGCGTGTTGTGAACCGGTGTTGTGGTTTTTACACTGATGTAACCATCTTTACGCTGACAAGAATGTAACTAAGTAACTTTTACTTTGAGTATATTTTATTTACGATACTTTTTACTTTTACTTGAGTAAAAATTTAGGCAAGTACTTTTACTTGTACTTGAGTAAAAAATGATCAAAGTACTGGTACTTGTACTTAAGTAGGAAATTTTAGTACTCTTCCCACCTCTGATTATCTGCCGTTAATCCCGAAGTGAAACTCGTAACAGTTTCCTCCAGCTCTTCCTTCAACCGACAAACCCACACTTCTCACAAGCTAGTCTCAGTAGAGCTTGCAACCGACTTCTGTTGGCTTATCTATTCATCCGTTAGCCAATAGCACCCTCTAGAGGTGGCATGTTAGACTACACATAATAGAACTTCAACAGCGAACATGGAACACAGTGTGAGACTATGTTGCAGTTACAATATACCTAAATAATAATAAAAAGCATGAGGACCACTTGGGTCTGTTCTCTTCTCCCTCAGATTGGGACTCTGTATTGGAACGAGCTGCCAGAGGACCTCGGGGCTGCAGAGAATGTTCATGTTTTTAAGTCCAGACTCAAGACCCATCTTTTTAGGTTAGCTTTTATCTAAATATTTACTACAGTTTTATTCCTCGTTTTACATGATTATATTTTATTACTTGCTTTGCATGTTTTATATGATTATATTTTAGCACAGTTTTATTATTTAATATTATTATTTTACTGTCTATGATTTTATTTATTACTTATTTTCTAACTTTTGTCATTTATATTAGCTCTTTATTATATTTTTACTCATTTTAATCCAGTGTTTCCTCTGTAGGAGCCCTCTGTCGCGGGAGCGGTGGTCGACTGTAGCTTCCTGGGCGCTCTATAGGTGGGGGTCTATGCTCCCCCTCCGCTGAGTGCCCTGACTTAGTGTGGAAGAGCTGATGCTGCCGGGGCAGACGGCTCCTCTGATGGCGTTTCCTTGCCTTACCTTGCTTGGCTCATCTGGACTCAGTCAAATATAATTTTTACTTGTGTGTGTGTGTGTGTGTGTGTGTGTGTGTGTGTGTGTGTGTGTGTGTGTGTGTGTGTGTGTGTGTGTGTGTGTGTGTGTGTGTGTGTGTGTGTGTGTGGACCTGGAGGACACCTGCTTTTTGTTTGTAGCAGAGAGAGAGAGGACCCTGTTACCTGGTGGACAGCTGACAACTGCTGGTTGTTCAAGCAGTTGTTTGCCTACATGCCAGCAGATGACGGTGTTGCACCTTTACATAATTGAATAGAAAGATTTTGATTAGTTCTGCTTACTTGAAAAAAAAAAAGCATGCAAACCGACTGCTCGTAAAACTTTACTTACTTGGACTTTGTACGTATTAATAGCTCTAACATTCTGCTGTATGGATTAATTTAAAACCAAGACAAGAAAGTTTTACTTTGTCTTAAAACTGTTAAAAAGCTTTTGAAATGTACACAAGACAGCAGCCCTGGTACACACTTATTATGTTGTTCCTCAGATGGATTGAACATGTGCTACTTCCTTTTTTGTGTGTTGTTGTCATGACAACAACAAGGATCTTGCTGGAGTGAGTCAGCATATTTCCATAGAGCATGACTTTGCATCAGCAGCACCATGCTCCAGTGCTCTGGGAGAGTTTATAGTCCTGAGAGTTGAAGACTGGATGACTGACAGCTGTCCTTCATCACAACAGAAGACTTGGAAATCGTCCTGATCAAAACCATGACTTTGATCTGCGTCCTCATCTGGACTCTCCTCTGCTGCTGCTTCACAGGTAAAGTCCAGAGAATCCAACTCCTCTCCTCTATGAACATCTGTCCCTCTGGAATGAAGCCCACAAAAGCATCAAGCTGCTTTCTGCTTTTGTCTCCTCAGAGTCCAGAGGTCAGGTCACAGTCCTCCACCACCTCTCTTACCCATGGTGTCCCACAAGATTCTGTGCTGGGGCCTCTGCTCTTCCTCCTCTATCTGCTTCCTCTTCAGCACATCCTGAGCTCCTTCAAAGGAATCTCCTACCATCTTTATGCAGATGACATCCAACTGTGCATCTCCTTTAAGCCCCATGAGATGTCTAAGCTGCAGCTGTTACACACCTGCTTAGACTCTATTAAAACCTGGATGGCTGGGAGCTTTCTTCAGCTGAATGAAGATAAGACTGAGATCCTCATCTGTGCCCCAGACAAGCTGGTTCCCAAAGTCAGAGACTCTCTTGGTCAGCTTGCTTCTTTTACCAAACCCTCCATCAGGACTCTTGGTGGGACCTTTGACCCAGCTCTCACCCTGGATTCTCATGTCAGTTCTCTTGTTCGCTCTTCCTTCTTCCATCTCAGGAACATTGCTAAGCTGAGTCCCATTCTGTCCCACTCTGAACTTGAGACAGTTCTCCACTCCTTCATCTCCTCACGCTTAGACTACTGTAACTCTCTTTTCACGTGTCTGAGCAGAACCTCCCTGAACCGTCTACAGGTGGTTCAGAATGCCTGTGCTCGGCTTCTGACCAAGTCCTCCAAACACACCCACATCACCCCTCTTCTCCTCCAGCTTCACTGGCTGCCAGTCAACTTCAGGGTTCATTTCAAGATCCTGGTTCTGGTCTATAGGGTCTTACATGGACAAGCACCATCTTACATTGGTGA